CAGCCCCCTTCTGTTTAAAATAATAATTATATAGGCCATCCTCAACTTATAGCAGTTTGTTTAGTGACTGTTCAAAGTTACAATGGCGCAGAATGACCCTTTTTCACACTTACGACCGTTGCAGCATCCTCACGGTCATGGGATCAAAATTCAGCCACTTGGCAACTGACTCGCATTTATGACAGTCGCAGTGTCCCGGAGTCACGTGATCCCCTTTGGTGACCTAACCAGCCAGATTCGCTTAACGACCGTGTGACTAAGTTAACTACTGCAGGGGTCCACTTAACGACCATGGCCAGGAAACTTTCCCTCCTCTGAGGATGCTCACCGAGAGGGTTGGGGTCCTCCAAGGTTCCCGTGTCGCAGAGAACCTCCAGAAGGACGGCGGGTGGTCGGTCGGGAGGAAGAGGCTCCTGGAAAACGCTGCCGTCGCTCTCGGGAGACGCCGCAGAGCTCCTGGGAGAGAAGACCTCGTTCGGGTCGATCCGAAGATGCAAAAGGCCTTCCGGATCGTTGTCAGGAAGACGCTGAATGAGGAACAAAAATGGGATGAGTTTTGGGTTGAATTGGGACCCGGGCTGAGATTTGAGTGACGGACGGGCTGAAATATCTGGCTGATTTTTGAGGAAATCCCTACAGCCACGATCAAGCCAGGCTGATTTATCTAGGTTTGTATCCTGGGCCGGATTTAGAAGGTCCACATCTACTCAACCTGACCTCTGGGAAGATATGCAGAGTCCCTTTAAAAAAAAAAAGGCAATTGAGAGGTCCTGGCAATATAATAAGGGTAGTCCTTGATTAATGGCCACAATCAAGACCGGGATTTATGTCGTTAAACAAAAAAAGTCATAAGATGGGGCATGTCTCACTTAAATGAGTCGTGATAAGTGAGCCATGCCTGATTTGATTGGTTTTTTTTTTTTGCTCTGATTCTGAGTAAACGAAAACCACAGCAATTCTTTCGTGAATCCGGGCGGTCGTTAAATGAAACCAGCTTCCCCCATTTATTGTCATTGTGGAAAGCTGCCTGGGTAGGTCTCAAATAGTGACCCCGGGATGCTGAAACCATCGTAAATACATGCTAGTTGCCATTGATCACCTGACTTTGGGAATGCTGCAACGGTCATAAGTGTGAGGATTTTTTTTTTACCTGTGCCGTTGTAACGATGAACGGCCGCTAAATAAATCGAGGACTACCTGTACGATTCTGTGTCTTACCTGGAGCTGGCCAGCTGGACAGTTCCCGGATTTATTTGGAAAACAGCCGTAGGGATGGTCTTGAAGCAGGAGGCTGACTCCGGAGTTTTCTACAGTGGAGCTGTTTCCGGGGTCCGGATCCTGCGGACCCTCGAAAAGAATCTCCAAAAGATTGGTGCTGTCAAAATCCATGGCAGAAACACCGTAAAAAGAGTTTGCGCACTTCCAAATTCTTTTAGGTTAATCTTTGCATCGCCTCCGGCATCCAGCCTTGCCAGCTGAACTTGATGCCGACATCCGGAATAATGTCAGCTAATCGATGCAACAAGCTGGATCAAAAAGGATCCCCAAAGCTGCTCCTTTTTGCAGGATGCCGGGCAGCCAAGAATTAACCCAAAAAAAAAAATCATCAATTTATATGCAGTCACAGGAATGCAAAGGACAACAGGCATAAATCCACCCAGCTGCAAACTCTTCAACTCTACAAATATTTGCCAGGGACAGGGATTTTTTTGTCTTTTAAAGGAACCCCTAAATCACATGCCTTTTTGGTTACGATTTGCAACCCTTGCAAATAAAAAAAATGAAATAAAATAAAAAAATCAACCCTTCGTCCCTGGTCTTTGTCGTCCTTGTTTTTGCAAAGTGGCTGGCCAAGGAGAACAATGTCCCGTTTTGTCACCCAACAAGGAAGTTCTTTCTTTTTTTAGTTTTAAAACTCGTTTCTCTACTACAGGATCTTCAGTATCCTGAAACTGCCTTTCCAGGACCAACCCAGAAGCTTTTAGCCAATTAAAAGGGTTAAAATAAACGTCATGGACCAATAAAACTTATTTGCTGGGCTCAGAAAGGTCATAAAAAAAATCTCTGTCAAGGAAGTTTGGCTTGCACAATTAGGTTTTGCCCAGTGCACAATGGGCTGGAAGCAAATCCTGTTTGCCTGCAAGAATAGAATAGAATAGAATAGAATAGAATAGAATAGAATAGAATAGAATAGAATAGAATAGAATAGAGAATCTATATAAATAAAAATGTAAATGTTTGTTCAAAATCTTAAATCTCCGAAAGTTCTTCACCGATTGCTTTGAAATTTTGACGCAACGTTGCATTCGAATATGCGCGTGTTTTTATATACCTACTATTATATAGATGTCACGCCTGTGATAGGTAAAAACATTTAACCTGTCTGACCCACAGCAACGCGTGGCCAGGTACAGCTAGTATAGAATATGGAATGGAATGGGGTTTTTTTTGTGTGTGTGTGTGTTGCATTTTAACTCCTATAACTCCAGCTGGTTAGTAAATGAGGAATGGAGTTTTCTGGAAGAGGGTGGGGCTCTGACTCATCCGCTCCGCCCCCCATGCTGCAACACTTTGTTGCGGCGCCCTTTGCTCTCCAAGTTGCTTTCGCAGGTGACGATCAACCCAGGTGAGCATCGCAGCTGAAAGCCCTTTTTAAAAAAAAAATTCCTGCATTGCGCCTTCCCGATTGGCCAGGCCTGTCTTGTCCGTCTTGGCATCCGCCAATCGGGGCGCCAGGAAGAGCCTTCGGGTGCCGCCTCTTTCGAGCCTGGTCTTTTTTTTTAAAAAAATAAAAAATGTCGCCCTCGTCGCTCCTCCCCTTTCGAACGCCCAAAGCGCGAGGAGGAGGTCCTTCCCGCGCTCCCATTGGCCGAGCGGGAAACTTTTCTGCCTCCGGCCGCCACGCCCTTTCGAACGCGAGGCCGAGAAGCCCATTGGCGGGGCGAGCTGGTTTCCTTCCTCTGTTTGGACCCGGCCACGCCCCTTTGGAACGTCCGGACACTTTCCGAACTGCGCGGAGTTGGGGGGAGGCAGCGGAGGCCGCGGGTGAGTCGGGGGTCTCCCGCGGGGGGGGGAGGGTCCCCCTTCCCCTTTTGGGTCATAAAGGAGCCTTAAACCCTTAATTGCACCTTCCAGGTGGGCTGGGACCCCAAGTCCCATGTTCCCCAGGCGCAAAGGAGGATGGGGGTGGTAGTCCTGCTTCTGTAAGTCCAAGGGGGGCTGAGTTGGTTGGGTGGTCTCTCCAGACACCAACTAACCCCCTTCCCTGTTCCTCCTTGGAGCAAGACCCCCGGGACCCTCCATTTTAAGAGTGTATCTCCTGGTGGGCTGACTACAGGGCCCATCGTCCCCAGAGGGGAAGGAGGTGGAATATTGTAACCAAACCAACTCCTGGAGTTAACGTCATTTCTGCAGGGATGAGTTGCTGAAGCAGTTTTGGTGCCTGGATGTGTTTTCTTGCTGGGGGTTGATGGTACTCACTGCCACTGGATTTATTTTTTTGCGGGGTGGGTGCCTTGGGGATTGTTTCCTGAGGGGGGTGAGGAATTTTTGTGTGTCTCTGATTCATGTATTTAGGATGGCAGCCTCTGAGCTGGGCTTTGATTTTGAGCTGGGAAATAAATTTACGGTATACGTTAAAATGTAAGTGTAAATATAAATAGTCATTTATACATATACATTTATATTTGCACATATTATATTTTATTTATATTTATATGTAAATATAAGTGCAAATATAAATGATAAAGCTAGATAAATTAACTGCCTTTAAACAAATTTGTTTCTAGCTTGGCTGGCTCATCTTTCATGTCGGAAACCGTGCCTCCTTGGGAATTTGGGGGTGAATATTTCAGCTCCTGAAAAGCCATTAGATTAGATGGCTCTAAAATGAAAAATAAAAGTTTCAAAAGCTGAAGCAGTTGAATGGAGGAAAAAAGTCTCTCTCAGCAGCAAAATCCAGATAAAAACTGGCAAACGTCCAGCTCTCGAATTACGGCTTACAGCCCGTTAGCCACGATAACTGGGGCTTGATGGAAACTGGAATTAAAGCCAGCAAGCATGCTTGAAAGATACACTGCCTTGACCCAGGGAAGCTCTTTTAAAATCAACCCGCTTTTTAGCAAGCCAAGCAGCCTGTTTATCCGCCTGTTTTTTGGTATCTGCCAAATTCCCTCTCTTTATGATTTGTTCTTCTGCAAAAACAAAAACAAAAAAACCCTCGGTTTAAAAAAAAAAAAAAGCAACCTAAAGGGAAGTGACTTAAAACCTGGGTTAATTTTAGTTCCCGCAATTTGGCAAAGTCCCACTAAGCTGTTTTGTTCCTTTTCCTCCCGGCGGTCTAGCTTGGCAGCAAATGAAATTAAGAATTAAAATGTACTTTTTTCTTTTTCTTTTTCTTTTTAAAAAAAGCTTCTTGTATCCCAGACCCAGCTGGCCTCTTTCCCAGAAACTCTGCAGACTGTCCTGAAATCTTGTTTTTTTCCCCTCTGTCTGACCCTGGGCGTCAGTCAAAAGAGGGGTGGATTATGGGTTGGGGGGTTAACAGCTGCTTTCCCTCTGCTTGGAAGTGGCAAATTCCTGGAATTGGTGATTGAGTCACTTGCAGATCTGCGAATCCTCTCTGGTTGCTGGCTCACATTACAGCCACAGTGGAGCCCAACATTTCTGTTGCTAAACGAGAAGGTGGTTGAGTGAATTTTGCACCGTTTTACGACGTTTCGTACCACCGTTCACCGTTAACCGTTAAGTGAACGACGGAGCTTTAAAACTGGGTTGTAAGGATCTTTGGGGAAGTTGGTCGTAACTTGGAACGGTTGCTAAACGAGGACTAATTATAATCTGTTTTTATTTCTTCCCTCCCCATTAGGTTGGCTCCTTGCTGACGGTCAGTGCAAGCGGAAGCCAGCAGAGCATGGGCAAGGCACCACGGGCTTAAAGGGCTGGGTGCAAAGTTTGCCCGTGGGATCCGCTTGGCAAATTTTGGAGATCCCCCTCCCTCCTTCCAGCGAAAAGTCTACGGATTGGAGCATGTTCGGGATGGCTGAAGCGTGGGACCTGGATACGAAACTGGATGCCAAACTGGTCTGGAACCCGTACGGGACCACCGCGCGCTCGGTGCAAGCCCTGGAGCTGAAGCTGGGCTCCTTGGTGCTTCTCCTGTTGGTGACCTTGCTTTGCGCCTTCATCCCCTTGTGGCTGTTCCGGAGGCCGGGGGCTGCCCTCAACACTGGAAGCCTTGGTGCGTGGCTTGGGGGGGTCAGGGGTTTGCTGGGTCTGGGGTCCAGGGTGGGCCTTTGGGGGGGGTCTCTTCTCCCTGCACGGGATCAATCTGTATTGAATCAGAATCGGGATTGAATCAGAAACAGAACTGAATCAATTTGATTTGAATCAGACTCAGAACCTGAACCGAATCAGACTCGAATTTGAATTGACTCAATCAGAATCTGAATTGAATCAGAATCAGAACTGAATCTGAATTGAATCAGAATCAGAACTGAATCCGAGTTGAATCAAACTTGAATCAGAATTAGAACTGAATCTGAGTTGAATCAGAATTAGCAAGTTTCTTTTTCCTGTTTTTGCACACCTGATAATACACGTAGTCCTGGTCTTAATTGGCCACAGCCAGGATCAGAATTTTTTTTTAAAAAAAAACTTTTCATTTTGAGTCCATTGCAAAAGAAACCTGGTTTACAGGCTGTTTAAACACACACACCGGTTGCATCTGAAGGGGTTAATGATGGTTTACTTATCTACTTTTATTTCAAAATCATGCCTTTGAGCATCTAATCTTTCCTTTTGGCCTTGGGAAAAGCAGCAATGGGGGGGGGGAGAATGTTATTTGCTGTTTTTAGAAATGCTTCTGTTTTTTAAAAGAGCATTAAAAAAAAAAAAAGAATGCATCGGATTGGCTTCTCTGTTAAATTTGTGGGACTGATTAAAACTTCCCGGTTTACTTTTCAGCCTCTGTATCTGCCGAAATAATAAAAACAGGAAGTTAAATATTTATTGGACATTCCTGATCTTGAGGAAGGCCCCGGGAAAACATAGTTTTTGGCTTAGGGTAGAGGCTGGCCATCAGGATGTGTGCTATCTGATTTAAATAATGTTTTCTTTTTTTCTTGGAAGTGGGGGGGGGGGGAAATTGAGGAACTCGTGTTTGGAAGAAGAGTCAAAAAAGGAGGAAAATGTAGCCGATCATGCTTTAAAAAAAAAAAAATGGCTCAAAACAAACGATGCTGTTGAGAAAGCAGGGTTTTTTTTTTCTTTGAAAGTTCAGTATTTGAACCCAAATAGAATCCAATCTTTTTTTTCCCTAAACAGAACATTTTGGCTATGTTTCAGGATGGGTTCCCCCATCTCTCCTGGCCCTTTGTCTATAAAAAATAAAAATCTCCTTGCAAAAAATAAAAAAATTGAGTTATTTCGCAGCTGAATACGAGTGTGTGTTCCAGGTTCATGCTGGTAAAAAAAAGCCTTTTTAATTTTTCCACCTGTCCTCCCGTTTTCTCCCTGTAACAGGTCCTCAAAGGAAAACTCTCAGCCTGGTGAGCAGTTTTGCCGGCGGCATCTTCCTGGGGACGTGTCTTCTGGATCTGCTCCCTAGTTATCTCGCCAGCCTTAACGAAGCCCTGGAGGATCTGCACGTCACGGTGAGTGAAGCCGTGAAATGGGCCGCCTTGGCAGATCCCACGTTCTGGGTTTTTAATTCTCTCTCTTGAGGGGAAAAAGCACATTTGGGGCCAGAGCGTATCGGCACCCTGTTTTGGCCTTGTGCGATGGTGACGGGGAAAGAGGCAGCCAGAGTTTCTTCTGTGTGAAATGTGCACTAATGAATTCCTGTTCCCGCTCCCTCTCTCTCGCCATTGCATTTTGATTTTCTGGCTCCTTTTTCTTTCTTCTGTGTGAGAGTAGTCCTTCCTGGCAGCACTTCCAAGATAATCGGGGTTCCTGTCTACCTTCAAAGGGAAAGGCAGAATCCGGAGCAGGGAGCTTGAAGCTGGAATAATAATAATAATAATGTTGGAAGGGACCTTGGAGGTCATCTAGTCCAACCCCCTGATGTCTCCTTTTCTCTCTCTCTCTCTCTCTCTCTCTCTCTTTCCCCGGACAGCTCCGCTTCCCGTTACAGGAATTCATCCTGGCGATGGGTTTCTTCATCGTTCTGGTTCTGGAGCAGATTGTGTTGGCTTACAAGGACCCTTCAGGATCCCTGGAGGAGACCGAAGCTCTCTTGAGCTCCGCTTCCCATCAGCACCCCTCCCTGCAGGAGCAGGCTTGGCCGGAGGGATCCCAGCGGCCCCCGCTCGCTCGGGACCGCCTGGCTGGCGAGCGCACCCACGTCCACGTGGACTTCAACGCCCACTCGGCCATCCGCCTGGTGGTCCTTTTCCTGGCCCTCTCGCTGCACTCGGTCTTTGAAGGGCTGGCTGTGGGGCTGCAGGAAGACGGCACCCAAGCCCTGGAGATCTGCCTGGCCCTCCTGATCCACAAGGGAGCCATCGCCTTCAGCCTGAGCCTCAAGCTGCTGCAAGGGAGGCTGCGTCCCCGTGTGGTGGCCATCTGCCTGGTGATCTTCTCCGCCATGTCCCCCTTCGGCATCGGGCTGGGGGTGGCTCTGACCGAGGTCCCCATGGCTGCCCTGTCCCGCCTCTCCCGCAGCGTCCTGGAAGGCCTAGCCACGGGGACCTTCGTCTACATCACCTTTTTGGAGATTCTGCCCCACGAACTCGGCTCTTCCGAACAGCGCATCCTCAAGGTTATCGTTCTCCTGCTGGGATTCGCTCTCGTCACCAGCGTTTTGTTCGTGAAGGTGTGAGCGGGGCGGGTGAGGGTTGGCGTGGGGCCGGGGAGGGGAGAAAAACCAGCCCCTGCCAGATACACTCTGCGGGGAGAACCACCTCTTCCACGCCACCGATCCCTCCTTACAGACTTAGCCAAACTTTTTCTTGGTCCCCCCGTTTTTCTCCCCCCCCCGTGCCAAAAACGACTCTTATCACTCTTGCGATCGACTCAGCTCGAAAAACTGGCAGCGAGCTCCTGTGACTTTGAATCCCTCCTCCAAACTTGCAAATCCATCCCGAAGGAACAGAACAGAAGATTCCCGCATCTCCGCTCCGTTGAAAACTCCCAATATTTTCCACCGGGTAATTCTGGAGCTCCGCAGTGGGGCTAGGAATGTTTTCAATTTGGTTGAAAACGGGGCTGTTTGGGTTCGTTAATAAATCGGGTTGGGATGGGGAAGGGGGGAAAAAAGATATTTTTGGTGCCAACCTTCTCCGTTCAGCTTCGGAGTGAGAGAACCACTTTGCCTTAAATTTTTTCCAGTGCCTTAAAATGTTTTTATACGGTTTGACCCACATGGGGAGACAAGTTAACCCAGCACCACTTGATGGCTTACGGAGAAGCTGGTTACACCAAGCTGTGGTTGAACCGCGGGCAGCTGAATAAGTCACCGTGGGCAGCCTAAGGCAGTCGGTGTCACGTTGCCTGGTTGTGATGCTTGCAGAAAGAGGAGACTAACCAGGTTGCTCGGAAAGCATCCCGTGAACGGGGAGGGCAAGGGGGCAAAAGGAGCACGGGACCATCAATTTTTGTGCATTTTATTGAGTGAAAAAATCTATTTGGGAGTGAAGGGCAGAGCAATCCTCCCCCCTCCCCTTTTTTTACATTTTGCAATGGGGGTGGGGGCGTGTTTAGAGGGATTGCGAGACTCTCTTAGCAAAGGGGAAGTTGTGTGATTGCGCTGAGTGGAACTCTGCTTAGGTTAGAGCAAATCGAATAAAAGCATTTTTTATTTTAACTAGATGCCGTTTGGTTCCTGTGCGGTGTTTATTCCTGTTGTAGGAGGGGGTTTAGGGTGTGTGTGGGGGGGAAACAGATCCCTGGTGGATTTTTTTCCAGTGCTTTCATTAACTTGGAGATCTGGGATCAAATTAGAACTATAAGTGAGCCGTGTTATCCGTCGGTGTAGTGGATTATTTTCAGGGGAGTGGATTGCTTCCAAACTTCCAAGTTTCTAGTCCTTAGGAAGAATATGTCATCTGGGTGGCAGAGGGATTCAGAGCAGCCCTCCCCCCTTTTTATCACGTTATTTCCCCCCCCCCTCTAAGTAATACAATAGTTGTAGTTAAGGCCCAGCATCAAACCCTCAAAGGCTTTTATCCGCTAAGTAAAAAAAAAATTGAGAATTGACCTCCCCTGGGAGCACCATGCTGGCTGATCCGCCCTCGTCCGCTCTAAATCTTAATTAATGCACAATGGAATAGACCCAAGGTTCGATTTAGTGTGCTCTAATTGGCATTTCTTCGGGGTTATTATTTTTTTAACCTAGCTCCAGCTTTGAAAGGAGCCAATTTATCCTGCAAAAAGGCACTTAATTGGGGGGGGGGGGTTCCTTAAAAAAAACAACCCCAGGTATGCTGCACAGACACACAATTGTGCTTCTTTTGGTGCTGCCAGAGTTTAATTGTGCTTTAATGCTGCTGAGTTTTGTTTTTTTGTTTAAATGATGCTTGCTTCATTTGCAAAAAGTCTGCCCTGCCGGGATAGGCAGCAGTAGCTTCGGGCTACAAAAACAGGTCGTGCCAAGAGGCTGATCCCTCAATTAATTAAGATTTATTAGATTTATCGAGAGTGCTTCCTAAGCAGTGAAGCAGTGTCAGGCTGCCTAGCATGGCTTGAAAGATTTTAGCTTCCTTTCTCTTGCCGGTTATTCCTCGGACTTATGACCAGAATTGGGGGAAGTTAGGCAGTTTGTGAATCGCTCCTGATTTTACAAGCTGAATCAGAAACAGAATAGAGCTGGAAGGACCCTGGAGGTCTTCTAGTCCAGCCCCCTGCTCAAGCAGGGGATCCTATACCATGTCAGACAAGTGACTGTCAGGAAGGAAGGAAGGAAGGAAGGAAGGAAGGAAGGAAGGAAGGAAAGGAAGGAAGGAAGGAAGGAAGGAAGGAAGGAAGGAAGGAAGGAAGGAAGGAAGGAAGGAAGGAAGGAAGGATAACAGAATAACAGCTGGAAGGGACCTTGGAGGTCTGCTAGTCCAGCCCCCTGCTCGAGCAGATCCTATCTAGGCAATACACAAAACTGTGAAAAAAGCAGATCCGCCTCGGGAGAATCAGGAGACAGACAAACAGAACATCCTGAGCCAGTCCAGAAGCCGAAAGCTGCTGAGCGATGCTGGGCTTAGAACAAAGAGCGTAATAGCACTTAGACTTATATACCGCTTATATAAGTCAGAGCTGAAGAAGCAAAACATCTTCAAAGAAAAACAAGAAAGTCCAGTTGCCTCTTGAAAAAGCACCTTTGGGACAACCATGATCTGGATGACTGAGAATCTCCATAGACATTTGTCTGAAATGGTACATAGGCCCCTATCTGGAGGGCGCAACATGGTGGAAAATGTTGAGAGGGGTCTCATGAAAAGTTATTAAAATCCTTATGATGGGGATATAAATGTATCGGGCTTCTTTTGAAAACATCTAACTGTGGCTGGGAAGAGTTCCAATAATAGAAAAAGGAAGAAATAGTTTCAAATTTGAGTCCATTTCTTTCACTGGGCAAGACACTATGTATCAGAGACTCTATTATAACATGTTAGCAGAATCCCTAGAAAAACAAAGCAAAGCCAAACAAATCAGTCCTGGGGTTTTGTTTTTTTTTTCTTAAAAGAAAAAAAAGATTGAAAATAAGAATAGTAACAACTTCAAAATAAAACCAAGGGCTGCCTGGCAAGATTGTGACAGAGTGGAGAAGGTGCAAACAAAAAACAGAAAAAGAGCTTTGAATTTTAGGTGGAGGGGATGGCCCACCCACCAGAAGGGCAATCTGTTGCAAGACAGGCAATCCCCATCATCCCCCCCCCAAGGCCGGCTAATGGGACCTGTAGTCCAAAGTATCTCTTATACTGTACATATAACCATAATTTTATTATTATTTTTTTGTATTTTATTACATTTTCAGATTTTTTTGTAAAAACTGAGCATTTGAAGCAGGGGGGGGAACCTGCTCAACATGAGCCAAAAAAAAAAACTGTTGCAAGAAGGGACCATCCCTATCAACACCTCCCCACCCTTGAGGTGGCTGATGGGACTTGCAATCCAAAGCATTCCTCAGCAGAAGCCCAAAGTCACCCTCTGGGTCTCTCCATCCTAAAAAGCACTGCTGCAAAAATGTTGGGGATCTTTTAAAAACTGGGCTTCCCATGCACAAGGGGAGACCCGCTGCCTGCCTGACGGATGGGGTTTGTAGTCCAAGGGTCCCCTAGGTGGACCTTGAGAAGAAGGCATCACACACACACACAGCCTGGCAGCCGCCTAATCGCCTTCACCTGTGCGGGCCGAAGCCCACCTGGCCGTGATGAGCCTTCCTGCGCTCCGCGGCCGTCTCCATGGCAACCGCCCCGCGAGCCTGGGGAACCAGCCGAGCCATCGCACCTGTCTTTGCGCGCGAACGAACGAGCGCGCGCCTCTCCCGCCCAGCGCCCTGGGGCCGCCTCGCGCGCTCCTTTCTGCGCGCCCATCTCGCCCGTTGATTGGCTGCTCGGAAAACGCGTCCCTCGGATTGGCTGAGCGGCCCGTTCCCCTCTCCGAGAGGCGGGGGCATTTAAAAAGTCGGCGGGCTCCCTCAGGCGGAGCGCAGACGCCTCTCCCGCGTCTCTCGGGCCCCGCGAGGGTCGAGGCTGCGGGGCGCCGGGGGGGGGGCTAAAAAGCTTCTCTCTCCGGCGCTCCCGCGGCCCAAGCCCTCGAGCTCGAGGCCGGGCAGGGCCTTTTGAGCTCTGAGGTAATTCTAGCGGAGGCTTTTCCACGGTGTGAGATTCGTGAGGGGAGCGCGAGTCCTTTAGCTGCTAATTAATAGCACCTGTAAAACGCCTCCAGGGGTGGCTGAGGTAAAACCTCAAGGGTGCTTTATTCGAAGGACTCCAAGACCACAGAGGTCACTAAAGATACTTATTCTCGGCCTTTCCCTCGGGGAACAACGCAAACCGCCGTGTCTGGAAGCCATTCTAGCCAAAGCCAGGTTCTTAAAATTTTGGTGGGACCTGAGGTAATTTCAGCCATGTCCGTTTAAAAAAAAAAAAGGACCAAACCACCACAGGTGAATAAGAGTTAGCTTTGGAGTGAAGTCTGAAGTTAATTTCAGCCACCTCCTTGCAGTGAGCGGAGGGAATTGTAGGCAGGTGCAGTTGAAAGGGCTAAATGACCCCAGGTGAACAAGCATTCAAAGTAGCTTAAAGGCAAAATGGCTCCAGTCCCTGGAGTTGCCCTTTCTTGAATAAAGTCAGCTCTTGGGACCTGGGGAAGTTTTGGTCAAGGCTCAAACCTTCAAAAGAAGCAAAGCATGTAGAGGACTAGTGGCTTCAGGTAACTAAAGGCAAAAGTTAACTAAAATGACTTCAGGTCCTGGAGTTGACCTTACTTTCTTGAAATAAAGTCAGCTCTTGAAGAATTCTTCAGGTAATTTTAGCCAAGGCGCACATTTTAAAATATTGGTGGAGTCTGAGCTAATCTTCAGCCATGTCCTTTTAGAAGGACCAAACCACCAGAGGTAAGTCAGAATTAAAAATAGTTTTAAAGGTAAAGATAAAATTACTCAGGAGCTGACCTTGCTCTCAGGAATAAAGTGATTTCCTGGGACCCGAAGTAACTTTAGTGGGCTCAGGTCCTTAAAAGAAGCAAAATATGTAGAGGACTAGCTACTTCAAGTAACTAAATAAAAAAGTTAACTAAAATTACTTCAGGTCAGGGAATTGGACTTATTTTCTTGAAATAAAGTCAATTCTGGAGGCCTGAAGTAATTTTAGCCAAGGCTCAGTTTCTTAGAGTAAAATACTGGTGGAACCTGAGATAATCTCAGCCTGGACACCCATTTGTCTGAAATGGTATAGGGTTTCCTGCCTGAGCAGGGGGTTGGACTAGATGACCTCCAAGGTCCCTTCCAACTTTATTATTATTATGTCCTTTTAAAAGGGACCCAAACCACCACAGGGAATAAGAGTTAAAAATAACTTGGGGGTAAAGCTGGTCATTTGGTGATGTTGATTTTTTTTTTTATTTCAAAGGCATGAATCCATATAGACGAAGAAGAAGACATCAACAGTAAGACAGATGGTTTAATTCATTCTCCAGTATATCATGAAAGTGTGGAAGCCTGGCAGATACTGTTTGCAACATGTTTATTCCTGCAAAAATTGTTTACAAAGTATCAATGGTAAAAAAAATATATTCTGAGCTGTCACAATTTTAGCTATTGGCTGCGGTTCTTAGAATTAGACAGGGTCCTGGGAGCATCCCACATACCGACACACATGGCGATGGTGGTGATGCCCCCCCTGGTGGGGGTCTTTCGGTCCCTGAGCTCCCACTCTGCGACACTCACACTGAATGAGCCGGGGAAGCAAACTGCTACCTGTCTCATTGAATCCCTGAGCAAACACTGTGGGGGACTCACACTGGAAGTCCTCTCTGGGGTGGGGCTGGGTGACCCTTTCAGTCCCTGAGCACGCACTGAGGGGGAACTCACACTGGAAGAGTGAACAGCGTCCACTCCTCCACTGCCTGAGGACCCCCTCAGTGAGACTCAAACTGGAAGGCAATCCTTTGGAATTGCCTCACACTAGAAATAAGGCGTCCTTGGTGCTCTCTGAGCTTGGTGGTTTTCTTGTAGACGTTTCATTAGCAAACTAGGGAACATCATCAGTGCCAGTAGAAGGGAGTGTGGTTTGCTGTCAGTTTATGTTCGAGTAGCTTCTTTCAGTGTTGTTGAAAATGGTCTTGGAGGTCCTTTGTTGTGCTACTTGTTGTTAGCTTCTTTGACCGTTCCTTGATTGCGGTATTGTTTTCTTGCCCTGGAGATGGTTTTTAGAACCTGAAATAAAACCTCAATGGCCATTTTTAATATTAGCTGTGGCCGTTGATCTAGAAAAGAGGTTAGGGTTTTCTAGCTTTGCAGACTGAGCGGAGGAACGATCGCACACCTGCTGCCAAAAGATCCTCGAAAGAGACAAGACTTGCTGGGCACGACTGAGGAAGAATCAAAAGAAGAAAGAAGAAAGAAGAGAGGATGAAAATGTCTCCAGCTCAAGACCTTCGGCTGTGATGTGGCCTCCTACGCTGTGAGGTAAGTTTAGCCGAGTCTTGTATTATTCAGAGTTTTGGGATATGGAGGGAGGTGGATGGTCCTTCCTGAGGTAATAGTAAGCACTGCGTATTGTGCATTCTTAGGAGTAAAACACCAATGGGAGCTGAAGTAATGTTAGGTTTTTGTTATCTCAAAGGCATGTACTCTGCACCACCTTAGAAGACAGAAGACTCAGCTGTCAGCCTGCGGCATTGATGGAAGGAGGAGGAACGGAACACAAGAACGAATATGGTCTCCATCAAGAATGCCCCTTCACCAAGTCAATCACAACTCACCTTTAGATGATAGATTTTATACCATTCTGTAGTTGTTAGAACTTGAGAGGAGCCACAGAAGCATTCCACATGCCAACCCATCTTGGAAATAATAGTGATGACTTATTTGTAGAGGTCTTTCAGTCCCTGAGCTTCCCCTGTGTGACACTCACACTGAATGGGTGTCTCTCTCTGGAGGTCTCTCTGGGTCGCCCTGGGCGAACCTTTCAGTCACTGAGTGAGCAGCCAGGGCGAATCACCCTGGAGGAGTCAACAGCTGGAAGCCTCTCCCAGTCCCTGAGGCTCCCCAATGGAGTCTCAAACTGGAAGGGAATCCTTTTGGATCGCTTCCCTCACTACTGTACACATGGCCAATGAGGATCATTCTCAGGGCAGTCTGGGAAACCAGAGAGACAAAAGAGATGCATTCCCCATGTTGAGGCACGGATCCTTGGCCACGCCTCCTTCGCCCCCTGCCACTGGCAAGGGCTGGGGCTGATGGGACTGCTTGCGCCTTGGGAGGGAAGGGAGGGCAACTGGCAAGGGCTGGGGCTGATGGGACTGCTTGCGCCTTGGGAGGGAAGGGAGGGCAACTGGCAGGGGATGATGGGACTGCTTGTGCCTTGGGAGGGCAGGGAGGGCAAAAGACACACTGGCTTTTCTGTTCACCTGTGGGCCCCCCCGACTCCCCCCCCACCGGCCTTGCTCCTCCTCCCCTCTTTCCTTTGAGTTGGGAGCCCAGCTGTCTTTGTGAAGCCCCCTGGAGGCGCCGTCCCCTCCTTCCCTGGTCTCCCCCTCTCGCCTGACTGCCCCCCCAGTGGCCTCAGCGGTTGTGACTCCTGCCCCCCCTCCCCCTCCCTCCAGTCCTGGCAATAGGGCTGCAAGGGCCCAAAAGTTGTGGAGCAGCCACAGCCCTCAGGCCCTGCGCGCCCCCATCGCCCGTTGCCCCCACAGCACTGGGGCTCCTGCCTGCCACCCGGTTGGCTGGGGGCTCCTCATCCGGTGCAGCCAGAGGCCCGGGACAAAGAGTGCCGGGTGAACTGGCCGGGCCGGAGGGCAGAGGGCCCAGGGCCCATTGGGGGGGTGGTGACTGGGGGGGGAGGGCAGGGGAGGAGGGAAGCTGCCTGTCAATGGGCTGAGGTGAGTGGCAGGGGGCGAAGGAGGCGTGGCCAAGCGTCCTTGCCTCAACACCCCATTCTGCTCCTGACGGGGGTCTTCCGGCCCCTCAGTTACCACTCTGTGACCCTCACCCTGAATGAGAAGGTGGGCCGTCGGCTCCCAGCCTCGTTCCGTCCCTGAGCAGACGCTGTGTGAGACTCACCCTGGAAGGGAGACCCTCTCGGTCGCTGAGTGAGCAGCGAGGGCGAATCACACGGGAGGAGTCAACAGCGCTCAGCTACAGGCTTCCTCCAGTGCCTGAGGATCCCCAGCTGAGTCTCAAACTGGAAAGGAATCCTTTTGGATCGCTTCCCTCCCACCTTCATACCCTTAGAAATAATGTCAGTTGCAGCCAGATCTCTTAGAATCAAAAGTAAATCTGGCGTCGAACTTGGTTATGAGGTATTGCCATCTCAATAAATTAATAACTAGATTCTTTGCTAGGGTGAGACGTTGGGTCCTCGAACTGGAAAATAAATCTGTTGGCCTTTTTTAATTCTAGATGTGGCCATTGAAACCCTGAGCAGATCTCTTGCCTGGCTTAATTTAGGCAGGATGTTGGTTCTTAGAACCAGAAAACATCTCAAAGGCCCTTTTTAAGGCTGGGTGAGCCGGTGACTGATAATAGATTGTATAGTTTTCTGCCTGGCGTAAATTTAGCCCTGGCGACGGGTCTTAGAACCAGAAAGGAAATCCCTCAATGGCCTTTTAAATGACCAGTGTGTGGCCAGTGATTGATAAAAGATTTCTATTTTTCCACCTGGGAATAATTTTATCCTTGGCTGCTGTTTAAAATGTGTAAGTTATGTTTTGACTGGTAAATAATCACGACACACAGTATGTGGCTGTCACTTCTATAATTTTGATTTCTTCTGTCACATACGTTTATCTTTTTGTTTCTGAAATATCTGTAAATGTGATTCTGACTTGGTAACATTCTGTTTGATGTGTATTTTTTGTAGTAAAACTGAGTTTTACTCCTGATTTACTGTTGTTAAGTAGTTGTGATGCTTATGATAAACAAAATATTTAATCTTTTGCCTGTTTTTATGTATCCTTTATGTATCTGTTCTTATCACCCTCTCTTCACCAAGAGATACACCTGTTGCGATATTCATGTATTTGAACCCTGAAGTTTCATTTTCTTTCTGAGAGAAATCTTTTGATGACAACTGTTGTTTCTTTTACACCTCACTTTTTTTTTTTTTATCAAAAATGTCATTTTAAATTAGTGAACTATTTAACCCATCATGGTATTTTATCATTGCTTTTGTGATTTTTACAATAATAAAAATGTGACTTTTTATCCTTAACTATTGGATGATATTTTTATGTATTTTATCTTCAGGACTGTATAATGTTTTGAATTGTACAAACTGTTGCATATGCTTGGAAGATGTGATGTTTGTGTTAAACAATAAAGTATTTGAAACTACTTTCAACTATATTTGTGATCCTGCAGTGAGGAGCGTGGATCTGTTGAAGTCACCAGGGATCATCTTTTGTAAGGATTTGGGGTTTTGGTGTATTCAGAAATGTCCTGTATTACCAAAATAAACTTCCAATGAAATTATGTTTGCACTTTTCGTAAAATTATTTTTGATTCTCTCTCTCTCTCTCTCTCCCTCTCTCTGCCCCACCTTCCATCTTCCCAATTTGGCTGCCTCTGTGAATCCCTGTCTCTCTCTCTTCATTTACCAGAGAATTGACATTGCTGCCTCTCCCTCTGGGCATGTACAGAGTTTTCTCTCTCTCTCTCTCCCCCGCCCCCCTCCAACTAGGAGCCCCGCGAAAGCCTTGCAAAGGGACCGCCTCCTCCCCCGCCCCTCCCCGCGGGGAAATTCCCCCGAGGCCGCGCGCGGTGCCCGCCGGGAACGGGAGTCCCCCGAGCTCTCGGGCAGGGCCGTCTGCGTCGCGAGTGGACTCCATCTCCCGTCGTGCTCCGCGCGCGAGGGGCCTCCGCCTGGGCGGCGGCGCGCGAAGCAGGCCGGGAGCGGGAGTCCGGCGGCGGCTTCCGCCCGTCGGGCTGAGCGGGCGGTGCACTCGGTTTCCCGGCGTGCCCCGCGCGGGCTGCGCGAGGCGGGGCGTGCGGAGGCGGCGGCGGAGGAGGCCGCGGCGCTGAGGCGGCGGCGGCGGCGGNCCTCCTCCTCGGCCTCGTCTTCCCCGGCGGCCGCTGCCTCGTCCGCTGCGGCGGCGGCGTCCAACCCGCGCAAGTTCAGCGAGAAGATCGCGCTGCAGAAGCAGCGGCAGGCCGAGGAGACGGCGGCCTTCGAGGAGGTCATGATGGAACTGGGCACCACCCGGGTGAGCGGGGCCCCGCGCGGGGAGGGGGCGCTTCCGCTGCCCGGGGGCGCCACTTCCGGTCGGGGAAGGGGATGCCCGGGCGGAGTTTGGCACCCGGGGACCCATCCTCCTGCGCTCCTCGTCCTAGCCCATAACTCAGGCCTCTGGAGGGGGTTGGACTACCCCACCCATCGTCCTCTGCCTAGCCTGAGTTGAGCTCTCTCGAGAGGGCTGGATTACCTCACCCATCATCCTCTGCCTCCCACCTCCCCATGGCTCACAGCCCTCTAGAGGAGATGGGTCCCACTCCCATCCTCCTCGCCTTCCTCCCCACCAAAGGACTACAGTTCCCATGCTTTGGCTCCTCATCCCTCCCCATGGGGGGCATCTGGGGCTCTAATGCCCATCCTGCCCATTGGGGTCATAGTAGGGGGTGGACTTTGCATGTAGGAGGAACACCTAGTCCTCATTTAGTGACCTTTAAACTTACAACAGCACTAAAAAAGTGACTTATGTGACCGCTTTCCGCACTTGCGACCGTCACAACCTCCCCAGGGTCACATGATCAACATTCGGATGCTCGGCAACTGACTACGATGGTCACAATGTCCCGGGGTGACGTGATCCCCTTTTACGACCGGCTGACTAGCAAAGTCCATGGGGAAGCCGGATTCACTTAACAACCGTGTCACTAACTTAACAACCCCCGCGATTCACTTAACAATCGTGGCGAGAAAGCTGGTAAAATGGGGGCAAAACTCACTTAGCGGTGGAAATTCTGAGCTCCATTGTGGTCGTAAGTCGAGGACTGTAAATTTTGGAGGGGGCCATCTTTGTAAGTGGGGAGGGGGAGTCTTTCCCACCTCTCTCGTTGCACCCCTTTCTACTTGGCCTTACCGGCACCCCAAAAACACCACAATTTCTACAGCTGGAAGATCAGCCATTCGGAGCTCCTAGCAGATTTCTAGAAACGGGACCGACTCAGAAACCTGCTTTAAGCCAAGATCGACGTGTGTCTGAAGTAGCTGCGACTGGGCCGTTGCCTCCGTCCGGCAGATCCGGCCCTCCTCGCGCGGGCCTCTCCTGGGAAAGCCGGGGAAAGCTGGTTCCCCGGAGAGGGTTTAAAATTAGCTGGGACAGAGGATGAGAAAAACATTCTGATGGGATCGGAGAGACGCCACCATCTTGGGGCGTTGTGTTGGCGTCATCTCACAAGCTGTAGCCGCAAAAGGCCATGATGTCCTGGGTTGTGTGTTGCCCGATGTGGGGTTGTGGCCGATGCCAAAGACGAGATGGTCTGGTCAGTCTTCTATGGACTGACACGTCCTGGTCCAGCCTGGGTGGATTTGAGGGAATTCCCAGGTTTTGACCCCGGTTCCCTCGATCTGAAGACTCTGAACTAACCTGGTTAGACATCTAATAGTGTTAATATTGTCTCTGGAGATTGATTGTTTATTTTTTCCTTCCTTCCTTCCTTCCTTCCTTCCTTCCTTCCTTCCTTCCTTCCTTCCTTCCTTCCTTCCTTCCTTCCTTCCTTCCTTCCTTTCCTTCTCCCTTCCTTCCATCCATCCATCCAATCCTCCTTCCTTTCTTCCATCCTTCCGTCCTTCCTTTCCTTCTCCCATCCGTCCTATCCTTCCTTCCTTCCTTCCTTTCCTTCTCCTTTCCTTCCCTTTTTCCTTCCTTTCCTATTCCTTCCCTTCTCTCTTCCTTCCTTCTTCCCTTCCTTCCTCCCCTCCCTCCCTCCTCCCTCCCTCTTTGGAATTAATTAATCTGTGGAACTAATTAATCTGTGGATCTCCTACAATAGACAGTGAAAAAGTCTCCTTTATGAGAAAACTTTTTTTCCCCCTTTATGGAAGAAGAAAAAAAATTGTTTTGACTTGACGAAAACCTGGATTTCCCAGGGATGGTACAAACAGTCTTCCACCACAGGGTCCAAGCGCAAGAATTTTTTTTTTTTTTTGCAAACTTGGTTTGATGTCCTTTAATTTTTTTATTTTGCAATGATGGTCGAGGAAGGAAGGAAGGAAATGGCGAATAATCTGAAATATTTATCATCTTGACATTAAGTGGCCCCTGAAACAGGCAGATTCTAATCCATCATCCTGTGGGGCACGTGACGCTCCTTTTCAGATATTTGGTGTGTGTGAGGTTTCAGTTCTTGTGGGTCTGGTTTGAGTCCCACGGAAAAGGGGGAAAAAAATCTCATTTTGCTTCTGCTGGCTTGGGGGTGGGGGGTGGGGGGATATTGTGGTGTCTTATTCCAGCCCTTTGCATAAAATGCTCTCCGTTGTACGGCCAACAGCCGGTTAATTTTCATTGGAACGGCCAGCAGGTTCCGTAGCCGGAGGAGACGGTCCCAAATATTTCCCCAACCAGTCCTTCCGGATAGACAAACAAGCAGAAGAAATACCAGTCCCCGGGGGGTTTTTCCAGGAGTATCTCTAGATAGTCCTTGACTTACGACCACAGTTGAGCCGAAAATTTCCATTGCTCAGCGAGACAGTTCGGTGAGATTTGCCCCGTTATATGACTTTCCTGGCCACAGCAAGGCTGTTAAGTGAACCTGACTTTCCCTCCTTGACTTGGCTTGCCAGAAGGCTGCAAAAGGGGAACCCCGGGACACTGCGACCGTCATAAATGTGAGTCAGTTGTCAAGCGTCTGAATTTTGACCCCGTGACCATCGGGAGGCCGCGACAGTCGTTAAGTGTGGAAACGGTCACAGGTCAACTTTTTCCGGTGGGGTTATAGAAACTTCCACTAAATGGTGTCTTTGTAAATCCTCATTCTTTCACACCGGGTTGGGGGGGGGCAGTGGGACAGTTTAGCCCCCAAACGAGCCGTCTCGCATCCAAAGCTGAACACAGATTTCCCCTCTTTTTAGGATCCCCTCAGGATGGGAGGGAGCGTTGCGTTTATGGCCCACGTGCCGAGCTTTTTTAATGTGGTAAACATCCAGGTTCTTAAAAAGTGGAGATTCCTGATGGGTTACATAGGATTGTGGTCTCCGTAACCGAATCACAGAGTTGGTACGCACCTTAGAGGCCGTCTAGTCCAACCCCCTGCTCAAGCAAGAGACCTGTCTCCCCAGGGCAGTGAAGAATCCGTGCGGACCCACTGTGAATTGACCACTGACCTCTTTCCACCTTCAGTTGCAGGCTCAGAAGTTGCGACTGGCGCACAGCCGAGGACCTTATTACGGCGGATCGCTGCCCAACGTCAACCAGATTGGAAGTGGTGCGGCAGAGTTTCAGGTAACCGTCATTGAAGCAAGCCACAATCTGGGGATCTTCCTTGACATTTCTTCCATGATGGTTTTGCTTTTCTGCTTGGGGGGGGGGTCCCCGCCCTGATTGGCAGGAGGGGTTTAGCCCAAGCTGCAACTGAACCCAGATGCAACTTTTTATTGGCACTCAGCTTGTTGAAATTGACACATAATTATTGAAATTGACAGCACAGTGTGTTAAAATTGACTGTATTGAAATTGATGCACAAGTTATTGAAATTGACACATGTTATTGAAATTGACACCTACATTGAAATTGACACCATGTATTGGAATTGACACGCAATTTATCAAAATTGACACAGTTGATATTGAAATTGACATACAATTGATACTGATATTTAAATCAACACAAAAATTATTGAAATTGACGCATGAATTATTGAAATTGACACACATTGAAAATGATACACAAATTATCAAAATTGACACACAGGAAGTTCCTGTTCCCCAATTTTGCAGACCCCCGCCTCAGATCTTCACACTTTCACAGACCCCTCTTGTCCCAACCACACTGCCTCTCTCTGTGCCCCCACCCCACCCCCCGCAGGGTCCCCTCCATTCTCCGCTGGACTCAGCCCGGGGCACGCGGCACCACGGCTTGGTGGAACGGGTACAGCGGGATCCCCGCCGGATGATCTCGCCGCTCCGCCGCTACGTACGACAGATATCCTTTTCTTTCTCTTTGCTTGCTACGCAACGCAACTCCAGCCGCCGGGAGTCACCTTTGGTGAGATGGGGAAGCCTATAAATTTAATACATAAACACACACCGACCTTGGGCTGGTGGTTCTGCAGGGACCGACGAGCAAAAGCAATTCCCCTTTGGGGGTTCGACCTACAGCGGGGACTTGCTGAAGGCCCATGACATTGTGTCCTCCTTAACTCCCCCATCACATCGACAGTTCTCCTTATAGTCCGGCGTACCTGTCCCCTCCTGCTGAACCGAGCTGGAGAAGGTGAGTCTTTACCACACTTTACCTACAGAGCAAGCCGCTGGTATATAAAATGAGAGCACACCTCGTTCCATACTGGCACTGATGCTATTACCTAGTTTGGTAATGAAACGTCTGTAAGAATTCAACTAAGTTTAGAGAGCACCAAGGACCCTTCAGTCCTCCTCCTCCTCCTCCTCCTCCTCTCTTTCTCCTCCTCCACTTCACAACCTCTCCCTCTTCCTCCTAGCTCTGATGATGTTACCTAGTTGGGTCATGAAATGTCTGCAAGAAAACAGTCAAGCTCGCAGAACACCAAGGACCCCACAGCTACCATCCTTTGCCCCTAACTTTTCCTCCCCACTGCTTTCATCCTAGTCTCCTCCTTCCCATCGGTCACTTACAGGTCATCCTTGAGTTATGACCATAATCAAGCCCTGCAGTTACGGTCGTAAACCATGACGGTTACAAAGCACGTTACGCGCAGGAGCGGACCCCATTTTACGACCTCGCCATTTTCTCCGACGGCGATCTTTGCTTTCCCACCTTTGGCCAATTTCTCAACTCTCGGGACCCTATTTTGCTTGCAGAAATGGAGACGGCCACTAGAGGGCGAGAAAGGCATTCGGGAACCTCCTGGTCTGTCGCTGCCCACTAATGGCAGCCTGTGGATCTGCAGCCCAGATCTGCAAATTCTAGCTAATGTTGGGAAGCAGTTTTTCCCCCACAACCTTGGAGTGACTGGTGTTGTTGTTTTTTTTCCCCATTGCAAAGGACAATGCCTTGGGGCAATTTTCCTCTGGAGAAAGAACGCTTGTTTAGACTGCCTGCCTCACTCAACAGGTGAGCCATTTTGTATTTCTCCCTCTTTAACGCGATGCTTCCTTCCCGCAGACTCTCTCTTAAGCTTTTAGACATCCTGGCGGCTTCAGATCTCCTTTTGAGGATCCTCCAACCCTGTGGCTCTTTCCTACACCATCTCCTACAGGACTGGGGGGCTACCAGCACCCCCCACTTAAAAGGGAGCTGTGTAGGCTTGATGGGGGTGAGGGGACCCCTCCCACGGGGCTGTGTAAAGTTGGCTGCAGTTTGCAGAGCCTCAAAGCGCCCTGCGTATTTGTGAATGCACACAGTGACAATCAGATTCGATGGCCCTTCTGCAATTCTAGAAATTGGGGGGGGGGAGGGAATGCACCAGGCTGTTTCTCCTTTCATCTAGCTTGCCTTCTCTCTTGTGGGCCTCCCCCCCTCACACACCCACTCATTCCCCCCCTCCCTCAAGGCCACAGAGGAGGGAGGAGCCTGATCTGCTCACAACTCAACAATAAACCCCATTATGTTCCTTTGGAAGAGCTACAGCAGCCTAGCCCTCTCCCTGCTGCCCCCCCTTCCCCTCCGTTTTGTCCCCGGAGACATTGTTAAAAAGATTAGGGCGGAAAGGGAGCGTTTAAAAACACACACACACACACACACACACAAACCCTCCCTCTCTAGCGGCTTCGTTAACGTCCCAACCTCTTGTCCTCCCACTGGATTACATCGGCTGCTGCGTTTCGCACTCGGTGCCAGCTGGCGAGGCGGAAGAAGGATGGACGTGCCGTGCATATATACAGATTCGACCGGCGAGCCCAAATTTTCCATCGCAAAGCGAGGTCTTTGTTAGATTAGCATTGACCCGTTTTATGACCTGGCTTGCCATGGTTGTTAAACGAATCGCTGTGGTTGTTAAGCTAGTCACATAGTTGTTAATGTGGCTTCTCTGTGGACTTTGCTCGTCAGAAGGTTGCAGGAAGGGGATCGCGTGAACCCCCCCCGGGACACTTCAACTGTCGTAAATACGAGTCAGTTGGCAGGCGTCTGAATTTTGACCACGTGACCCTGGGGACAATGGTCGTAAGTGTGAAACAACAGTCCTAAGTCTCTTTTTCCCCCGTGCCACTGTAAACTTTGAACAGTCGCCAAACGAACCGTTGTAAAGCTGAGGACTAGCTGTAATGCGTATCGTCTGCACATTTTCAGGATTCTTCCTCTCCGTTAAGACGGAGCATGGATCATTTTTGGAAAAAAATCTGAACCTTAAAACCCTTTTCGTTCCGCCCTCTTCTCTTTCGTTAAGCAGAACGAACTCGGACTCTGCCCTCCACACCAGCGTGATGAACCCCAACCCACAGAACATGTACCTGGGACCCTCTCAGGCGGCCCCCCCTCCCAGTCGGAAGACCGGTGAGTGCCTGATGGGGGGCGTGGGTCTCGCGAGAGAGGCGGTGGCCACGCTCTGGCTAGGATTCGGGGTTTCTTTGCAGGATGCTTCTTGGAGATGAGCATTTGATGGAGGTTTAATTGTCCCGTCTAAGGAGAAGCGGCAGCTTTCAATGTCCTAGAGGGAGAACCGTTTTTGAGGACGGAAACTCAGACTTGAAGCATTTGGCCGCGTTTCTCAAAGTTGGCCACTTTAAGAGGGGTGGGACTTCAACTCCCAGAATTCCCCAGCCAGCACAGCGGCTGCTTTCAATGTCCTCTAGACTAGAGGAAGAACAATTTTTTGAGGATAGAAACTCAGGCTTGAAACCCGGCGTAAATGCTTCAAGCCTGAGTTTCTATCCTCAAAAAATTGTTCTTCCTCTAGTCTAGAGGCCATTGAAAGCAGCCGCTGTGCTGGCTGGGGAATTCTGGGAGTTGAAGTCCCACCCCTCTTAAAGTGGCCAGCTTTGAGAAGCAGAGATTTCAGAGGGCAAAACCAACGGGAGCTTCCAACGGACCCCTAGCAAGGGGGTCGCAAGCTGAGCAAGGCAGAGGAGGAGGAGGAGGAGGAGGAGGAGGAGGAGATGGGGAGTGCCTGGAAGATAATAATCCCAGCAATCTTTCATGCTATCTTCTACATTTTCTTCTTTTTTTCTCCCCTTTTTTTTAAGGTTACCTAGATACTGATACGGATAGCAAAGGTAAGACCCTTTCTTTGATACACCCCCTCCCTCAAAGCCTCGGCCTCACTTGTTCGCATAATCAATTTAGGGAGATGATCATCTGCTTCTAAAAGTTGAATTTTTTTCTTAGTTTTACGAGCGAGAAGAGGCTGTAATCTTTTCTCTTTTCTCTTTTCTGTTCTGGTCTCTTCTCTCTGCTTCTTTCCTCCCTTCTGATCTCTCCTTTCTCTCTTCTCTTCTCTTCTCTTCTCTTCTCTTCTCTTCTCCTCTCCTCCTAACTCTTCTGCCTCTTCCTCCTCCCAGTGTTTCTTTTCCAAGTGCCTTCCATCGAAGAGAACCTCTTAGACGACGGGAAGCAGTCGCTGAAACCTTGGGACACCAAGAAGGTGGGTGCCTCACCGGTTTCAGAAGCGAGGCCTCGTGGCTTCTCCCCATCACCCCCTCCTCCGTTGCTCCCCCCCCTTCCCCACATCCAACAACGGGATATTTCTCTTCCTCAGCTCTCCTCGTCTTCCGCCCGTCCCCGATCTTGCGAGGTGCCTGGAATCCAGTGAGTAGCAGTGGGATTCTCTTTCCCGTCGCCACGTTGTTTTCTCCGCGGGTGTTAAACATCAGATCCATCAAAGATCTTTCTCCTGTTGATCAAACGAGGGGAAGGACTTGTAGGCTGCCAAGGGCACAGCTGATGCTATGAAACTGGGCCCCTCTTGGAAATAGTATTCCCACCTTCCAGCGTGGTGAAAGAAAAGTCTCACCGCTGGTAGAAAGGTAGCTGCTCAGGCCAAGGTGGGCGAGATCTCTACCTGCGGGGAGTCGAGAATAGTTTTAGAGGTCCCCAAATTCACACACATCGTTGGTAAGGCCCACACAGGTGACACTTTTTCTCTTCTTTTCCCCCCCTTTTTTCCGTCTCTCCTTCCTGCAGCATCTTCCCGTCCCCAGACCAGCCTGCCAACTTGCCTCTGATGCCGTCCACCCTCAACACGGGGGGGTCCCTGCCGGATCTGACCAATCTGCACTTCCCTTCCCCGTTGCCTACGCCCCTGGACCCGGAGGAGTCGGCCTACCCCAGCCTGAGCGGCGGAAGCAGCACCAGCAACCTGGCCAGCACCATGACGCACCTGGGGATCAGCGGTGGGATGGGCCTGGGCCACGGCTACGACCCCCCAGGTACGCGCCGGGAGGCTTCTTACCCTCATGTCGGTATCAACCAGAGTTTGATCGGGTAGCTTTTCCAGTCCCCCCCCCCCCAAAAAATGCAAGCGATTTATCAAAACAGGACGGATTCTCGTCCCGGCTCGCCTCGTTTCTCACGAGCGGTCGAGTCGGTTGCGAGCGGTAGCCCCGTTGCACCCGGGCAGGTGCCCCATCCATCTTCTCATGTGTCCTTGCAGACGTTTGGCATTTTATTCCATTGTTTGTGTGTGTGTTGTGTGTGTATGTGTGTGTTTGTGTCGAATCGAATCATTTCTCCAGCTCTGGAGGTAGCAAAAGTTTGCCGGCTCGTGAAAAGAAAAGCTCGCCGTTCTTTCTCCTCCGGAAGTCCCCGGAGGCTGCGATGTGCCACAGTCAGCCCTCTTCCATGTGTGTATGTGTGCGTGTGGGTGTGGGTTTTGCTTGTCTCATGGATTTATGGTTCTTTTTGTTCTCATTTTTTATTTTTTTGTCCCCGCAGGGCTGTGTTCATCTATGCAGAGCTCTCTCAGTAACCCCTGCCTCCAGTCCTCGCTTAACGCCCCCGCCCTGCGCCCTTCGCCCAGCAGCTCCTCCATCGGCTCCCCGCTCAGCGGCCAGTCCTTGCCTTCCTCCCTCAGCACCCCCTCGCTGTCCACCTCGCTCAGCAACCCTTCCCTCCCCACCTCGCTCAGCGCCCACTCGATGCCCTCGGTCCCGGCCAATTCCCGGCTGCCCCCACCGCCCCATCCCCACCACCATCCGCCCCAGGGCTTTGGGGGCCCGGCCTCCTCCTCCTCCTCCTCTTCCTCCTCCACCGCCTCGTCCCCGGCCGCCTCCTACGCCCCTCTGAACGCTTCCCCCCGCCGCAGGGTCCCCCTCAGCCCCCTGACTCTCCCCATGGCTGGAGATACGAGACGACAGCACCCCAAACAGTTTTCGCCAACTATGTCACCCACATTGTCTTCCATCACCCAGGTACGCACCCGGGAGGGGGGGGAGAGGCTTGTGACGGGAATGTTTTGTGTCCGCCCCCCCTTTGTGTTCCCTCCTGGCCCCTCTTTTTTTTTTTTCCCTTCCTTTCCTTCCTTCCCTTCCTCCCTTCTGTGTTCTTCACTTTTCTTTTCCCATCTCATTTCAACCGGAAGTGCCCCTTTCCTTCCCCGCTAAGGATCGTTTCCCACCACTTCTCTTCTTCCCCCTTGCAACCCTCAAGCGGCGTGCAGGTAGTCCTCGGCTTAACGACCGCTATCTGGAGCCCAAACCTTTCTGTCGCTAAGCGAGACGGTGGTTAAGCCACACCCTGGGGATCCTGCATCCAGTTTTGGTCCCCACGTGACGGAAAAAAAGATGTTGAGGCTTTGGGGAAAGTGCAGAGAAGAGCAACTAAGATGCTTAAAGGCCCGGAGACTGAAACACAGGAAGAACGGCTGCAGGATTTGGGTGTAGCTAGTCTAGAGAAGAGAAGCACTAGGGGTGACACGATAGCAGCATTGCAGTATTTGAGGGGCTGCCCCAAAGAAGAGGGGGTCAGTTTATCTTCCAAAGCACCAGAAGGCAGGACAAGAAGCAACAGATGGAAACTAATCCAGGAGAGGAGCAACCTGGAACTAAGAAGGCATTTCCTGACAGAACAATTGACCAGTGGAACTACTTGCCTGCAGAAGTTGTGGGGTGCTCCCATCGCTGGAGGCTTTTAAGAAGAGACTGGACAGCCCCTTGTCTGAAGTGGTCTAAGGTCTCCTGCTTGAGCAAGGGGCTGGACTGGAAGACCTCCAAGGTCCCTTCCAGCTCTATTCTGATCCAGTTGTGGTCGTTAAGCCGAGGATTACCTATAATCCCACGGAGGCTGGAGATTGGGGCAAGGGCTGAGGGGTGGTCCAGCCGCATCCATCTAAGAGCTATGATTTCCTACCCCTAATAGAGCAGGTGGGCATGGCCGATACCAAGAGCTCCTCCCTCCCTCCACAAAGGGACACGTCACCCCCACTTGTGGGGCAGTTCCCCTTTCTGAGGCTTCCCTCCCATCTCCAGGGGGTACCGTTGGACACCAGCAAGCTCCCCGCAGACCAGCGGCTTCCGCCCTACCCCTACAGCCAGCCAGGTGTGCTGCTTCAGCACAGCCAGAAGTCCCAGCACCAGGTGCCCGGAGGAGTCCCTACCTCTCAAACATGCCAGCCCTCCCAGACGCCCTGCCCTTACCCGGCGCATTACCAGCCTAATTCCATGCTCCAGCACCAGCTCAACCAGCCGTTGGGGGACTTCGGCTTTGGCAACGTGAGTTTACCCCACCCCACCCCGCCCTTTGCTGATTTGCCAGGCTCGTAGCGGCCAGCGGGGTCCTCGGGAGGTCATCTAGTCCCACCCTCCTGCTGGTTGGGCTCCTTGTGACGGGACCCGTGCCTTTTCTTCCCCTCCGCAGTTCGACCAGTACGGCTTTGTCGACAACATGACGGGAGGTTTTGCCTTCAACAGCAACGCCTTCGCGGAGGACATGGGTGCCTTAAATTACTCGCCGAGCGACCACATGGGACCGCCAATGGGCGGTGGGGGCGGCCACAGTAGCAACAGCAACAGCAGCGCCATGAACGACCCCCACTTGCTCGGTCGGCAGAACCTGAGCAATTGCAGTCGTCATGGCCCCATCCCGAACATCATTCTCACGGGTAATTGGCGCGTTCCATTTTGCGGCGGGTTGGAAATGGGGCACCCGCTGATCGGGCGGGGAAGTGGCGGCCGCCTTCAGCTTTAGAACGGGCGGCTCCCCATTCGAGCGGACGAGATCTCTCTCAGGATACCCCCCGATCTCACCAAACGAGATCGGGTGGATCGGGGAGCGCAGCAGCCCACCTGGTTAGGACCCTGGGCAGGCCGGTGTTTGAGACCCAGGTGCTGTCGCCAGATGGGATGAGCTCCCGTCACTGGCTGCAGCTCCTTCTGACCCAGCAGTTTGAAAGTGTGTAGCCAGGAGTTTGACTGATGGGTACCACTTAACGGGGACACAAAAGGAGCCCCCCAACTCCACGTCCCCACAGGCAACGGTGATGTCACCGTTCAATCCTTTGGACCCGGAAGTGCCTCAGTGCTCCCAACAAGAATATTGATGTAGTAGGGTGGATTTGAGTTCTGCATCCTTCCCTTTGGGGTGGGCTGGATCCCGACCTCTGCCTGCAGATGGGGTCCCTCCGACTGACCTTTGGTTCCCATGCCCCGTTGTGTAGCTGTGGATGTCCGCTCTTCCTTCCTAGGGGATTCCCCGCCTGGCATCTCCAAAGAAATCGCCAGCGTCCTGGCAGGCATGCCGGGCTTCGAAATGGACGCGGCTTCCCTGGGTCTGGATGAGGATCTGAAGATCGAGCCGCTGAGCTTGGACGGACTCAATATGCTGAGCGACCCATACGTCCTGCTGACCGATCCCTCCGTCGAAGACTCCTTCCGCACCGACCGGCTCCAGTGAACCCAAGGGGTGCCGAGCGACCCCCCCCATCCACCCCGGCAGGGACAGCGGGACCCTCGCGAGCCGCGGAGAATCAAACGGGCCGGGCCGGGCCACGCTGCCAGTCCTCGGGGGGGGGACCGATCGAGAGAGAGCGGACGATTCGTGCTTCGCTTCCTCCCCAAATGCCGCGTTCTCTCCCCCCCCCCGCCACCTGGGGAGAGACCCTGGTAGCTTCAGCAGCTTGGATGCTCTCCCATGCTTGGCCCAGAGGCAGGGCCGGCCCCGGGTTCAAGGGACGTTGAGGAAGGGCGACGAGGCGTCCTTTCGAATCCATCCGATCCTGAGCGTTGGGTGGAACGGATGAGCAGAAGCAGCGAGGGAGGGGAATGCCTTCCCAGATGTATCTGGGTTGGGTGAGATCGTGGGGGTCACCTTCTGAACCCCTCAAATCAAGAAACGGGGCGGCGTAAAAGCATCTCAGCCGTTTTTCACCCCCCCCCCCTGTAAGATGTCTCCCAAAGGGAGGAGAATAGAGAGAATGTCCCATCTTTTTGTTATTGTTTTTATTTCCCCCTTAATTTTTCTCGCCTAATCAATTTCTTGCTGGTTTTTTTTTTAATTTTATTTTTAGAGAATTCTGTACATAACCCTCCTCCTTTTTCTCCTCTCTCTCTCTCTCTCTCTCTTTCTATCTCCTTCTCTCTCTGTCTCAAACTGCCATGTTTTTCACCCCTGGGGAGATGAAGGAGCATAGTTGCTAGTTAAGGCACTTCTAACTTTGCATTCTTATCTGTCGGGCGTGGAAGACCGAGTGCCGGGGAGCGAGGGGAGGGGGGCTGGTGGGAAGACCCCCCCCAGGCTGGGTTGGCCACAGACCTGGCTTGCTGCCTCTTTCCATCTCCCCCTACCCCTTCCCCGCCCCCGAGGAGGAGACGAACCAGAATGATTTTATTATTATTTTTTAAATACATGTGAATTATCATGATGTTGTGTGTGGTTTGGACAGGATTGGGGGAGGGATGTTTTGTTTCAGTTTGGGGGGTGGGGGGCTTCTGAAATGTTCCCCCCCCCTTATAGGCCAGGTTCAAAGGCACAGAGTTCGGTGGGTGGGTTTCTCCACCTGATTATTTTGGTGAAAAACTCCCAAGGATGAGAGTGATTCTGCCTCGCACCCGCTGCCCCCAATCTTGTTTTATCCACAGCATCTGATCGAATCAAATATATTGACTGTGGCAGTTGTTACAGGTTGCCACACCTATCTTCCGATTTGCAGCGGTATGCATAACCGAGCCAGGCTACAATGGAGAGCGAGTGTGTGGCGTGTTTGTGCCAGCCAGTCCATCTCAGCCCTCTTTGAGGGCGACTCCCTTCCGTCCATCTCGTCTTCCCAGCCCGCTGGCTTTCGGCCGGCTTTGAGGCAGGTCAGTGCTCACTTTTGAGGTGCGGTGGCGGGGTTCCCCACTCCCCAAAACGCCCCCACAGGTGGTGAGGGTCCCCGGAGAAGCCGGATTGGGCTCCATCAAAGAGCGTGACGATGCGAGAATATTCCTGAGCGCATGCAGAGAGCTCAGTCGGAGGGCAGGACAGAGCGATTGATTGAGTCAGGTCCCACTGGACTCGCACCATGGAGGAACTGAACCACCCACCCACCCTGGCCTGTTAACATCCCCCCCCCACCAAACTCTGACCCATTTTAGCCCCGATGGGACTTGCCGGGGGTCTTGGGAAGAGGTGGGTTTCCGAGGGCAGGATAAAATTGAACAAACAAAGCACCAGAGGAGGGCAGGACAAGAAACCATGGTTGCAAACTGACCAAAGAGAGAAGCAACCTGGAATTGAGGAGAAATTTCCTGACAGGGAGGACAATTAGCCAGTGGAACGCCTTGCCACCAGAAATTGTGGGTGTTCCATCACTGGAGGTTTTTAAGAAGAGACTGGACAGACACTCATCTGAGATGGGATAGGTTCTCCTGCTTGAGTGGGGGGTGGACTGGAAGACCTCCAAGGTCCCTTCCAGCTCTATTCTATACACAAACGGAGGATTTCAGCAGGAGGGGCTTTGAGTTTAAAAGAAAAAAACAGGCCCTAAAAATTAAACAACAGAAATGGCCGTAACTTGAGGACTACCAGCACCTTCCACAATTTATACAGATTTTTTTTCTTTTAACCCCTGTTTATCCCGTTCTTTCTCGACGTCACACCCAGGGGATTAGAATTAGGGATTGGTGTGGGGGGGGGGTTTGATCGTTTTGGTCCTCTTCCAAACGGGATGAGCAAAGACAAAAGACCAGACAACGTTTGGGAGAAAAAAAAATTATTATTTTTTTCCTTCTTAAATTGGGTAACCAACCCTTTCTCCCCGAGGGGCTGGTTTCACTTCAGCCCCCCTCCCCACGTTTCCCCGTCAGTCCATCCTAGCAGGTCAAAGCCTCGTTGTAAATCATGGCCAAAGCGCCGAGGAACGCAACGTATTCCTGGAAATTGACCACCTCATCCTTGTTCCGATCCAAATCCTCCATCAGTCCCTGGATCTCTTTGTCCTGCAATTTCTGGAATGAAAAGGGAAAGAAAAATAAATAAATGGCAAGGCTTGTCTGCTGGGAGGGGTTGGGAAGAGTCGGTGTTGGCCGAATCTAGAGGCTAGTCCTCATGGTTATAAAAATCACTTTTGGGGGGGGGGTCCCCTGTGTGCACTTACCGAACCGATGGTGAGCTCCTTCTGGATCAGTTCCTTCAATTCTTTCTTGCTGAGGCTGCTCTTGTCTCCGTCCTTGCCCGAATATTTGTGGAAGACGGCCACCAACATACAGATGGCTTGATCCAGTGGGGCGGCCATGATTCGAACTCGGAAGTGGATCTAGTGGGGAGGGAGAAAGAAGAAAATCAAATAGGTTCATCTCTTCACCAGCCAGGTTTTTATTTGTATTTTTATTATTTTTATTTTTCAAAGCTGGCCTCGCTTCGCACGCGTTACCCAATCGGGAGAATGTGGCCAGAAACCTTGGGGGGGGGGGGGGGAGGAAAAAAAATCCTTTAAAAAGTTTGGAACTTAATTTTTTCTCCAGTAAAAATGAAAGACGGGGCTGACTTGACTCGTTCCCAAAGCAGCTTCTTCATTCACTTGGGGATTTTTCATCCCAGACGTCGGAATCTGAATAACTCAGTCAGTTGATCATCCTGAATTTCTTCCCGGCTTCCCAAGCAGCTTTCATTTAGGCGGTGATTTCATCTTAATTAGCCATTCAAAGATTTAGCAGAGCAAAGGGGACTGACTCCTTCAGGCTGGGCTGGGCTCCAATTCCCCACCCCCAAAAAGGCTCTCCTTGTCTGGGATCTCTCTCATTTCCCCTGGTGGAGCCTCTTTGGCTAGGAATCGTCTATCTTAAAAATCTCCCCCCCCCCACCCATCCTTTTCTCGTCCCTGACAATTCACTTTTCCCAACCACTGTTGAATCCTTGCTCTGCTCCCCTCCCCTCTGCTCCTCCCCGGGCATTCCTCCTTCCCGGAACGTTCACACCCAAAGGTCATTTAGCCTGACCCCGGCTTCCTTGTAAGACCTAGCCAGAGAATTCCTGCTTCTCTGGGCCTGCCTGATCCACTATCGGCGGCACTGATTTCTTTTTGATGGGGGGGGGGAGAGCGATGGGGCTTTCCTTTTTCCTGCCTTCTCTCTCCTTTCCCTTCCTTCCTTCCTCCCCTCTCCTCCTTTTCTCCATCCTTCCTTTTTCTCCTCCCCTTCCCTCCCTCTCCTGTCTCCTTTCCTTTCTTCCTCTTCTCCCTTCTGCTCCATCCTTTTTTTTCTCCTCTTGCTCTCCTCTCCTCCCTTCCTGTCTCCTTTCCTTTCTTCCTCCCCTCCTTCTCTCCAAGTCCTTTTTTCTCCTCTTCCTCTCCCCTCTCCTCTCCTCCCCTCCCTCCACCTCCCCTCTAGTTTCCCCTCCTTTCTCTTTTCTCTCCCTCTTTTTTTCTCTTTTCTCCTCTCTCCCCTTTCCCTTCCCTTCTCCCTATTTCACCTTTGTCTTAATTTAAGCAGTGAGATTTCCTGGCAAGGCCCTGCGTGGCTTCCAGGCTTCCTTGCCAGCTGTGACGTTGCGAGTTCCCAGCACGTCCTCACTACACAAGTGCCCAGGAGAACGCCAGAGCTTCTCATCTCCCAGGAGCGCCAGAAAAAGGAATAGAAACATCAAAACTTCTTCCTCTCCCGGCCGTCGCATCCCCCCCTGGGCCTTCGCCCGATCAGAAGCCACCAAAGGGGTCGTTTTCAGCTGCAAAAATTCTTATTTTTCGCTTTTTTTCCCATTTGAGCTAACTCCTCGTCTTTTTTTTCATCTGCCCAAATGACGGCAACATCCTGCTGTTTTTCCAAATTTGGTGCTTTTCCTGCCAATGGGTGCAAAAGTCCCCTTCTTCCTGGGACAGCTTGCCAGCCGTAAAGGATAGAATTTCCAAATATTTTTATTTTTGGGGGGGGGAGACAAAAGGGCCTTTTGCAAAGGAAATACTTTGAAAAGGACCCCCATCCCAGAGAGTTTCTTAGGCCGTTTCCACTTGGGGCAAAGAGGCTGAAAGAAATTAAAACCTGGAGCAAAGGGAAAAGACGGAGCAGGGCGTCTCCCCTCCGAAGCTGGAAGAGCTGCGTTTGAATTTAACCCCCCAATTTTCCCCATCGGGGCCGGTGAGAAGGGCTGGAGTGTGCGTGTGTGTGAAAGTTTCCAAGGTACCTATTTCTTTTTTAAACCCCAAAAGAAAAGCTGCACCCCCTTTCCTTCTCCCCAATTTCCCGGCCTTCGGACGGTCCCGGCTTTTCCCACCAGGGGGCATCAAAAAATTGGGGAAAAGAAAAAAAAATCTTTGGAAAGTTCACTTCAGCTGTCAGCTGTGTGTGGGTGGGTGTAGTGTGTGTGTAGTGTGTGTGTAAGGGTGGCAACTACCCCACCCGTTGCGTATCTTTTATTCCCGCCGCCCCCGGGAAAGGTGGTCACACCCTGGCAAGATGGCAGGGAGGGGGTTTTCGGGGGGACCCACTAAGGACGTGGGTTCAGTGGGGTGGCCCCCTTGCCCCCCAGTGACCCACCCAGGATGGGAAAAACCCCAGGCCGGAGGGGGCTGGCGGCCTATCTGCAGCCAAAGGAGATATTTTGCTTGGTTTTCTGTCCGAGAACAGAGTTGGAAGGGAGCTTGGAGGTCGTCTAGTCCAACCCCTCTACTTGATTATTGTTACTAATTAAAGTTCATCGGCTGCCCCATTGCCAAGGGGTCTGCCACTGGGGTGGTGGTGTGGCACTCTGCACATGCTCCAGGCACAAGGAGGCAGCAGCTCCATCGGGAGGGCAACATCTTCAAAGGGCTTGTCCCCCCCCCCAGTCCAAAACCCCAAATCCCCCTCCCTTCCCAGAGCAAATTCCTGACTTTTCCAAAGAAACTTTTCCTTTGGGGTATTTGGGGGGTGGAGAGGAAGATCAGCCCCCCCTTTTCTCCAACGTTCCCCCAATTCTTCGGAAGGAGGAAAGGGAGGAAAGACTGAAGGAGAAAGTGGGAAGAAGGGAGGAGTACTTACCCCAAAATGGATGTGTCGTGCAAGATGGCTGGAGAAGGGAAAGTGGTGGACCCACCCAGGGGGGAGCCCAGATTTATCAGGAGGGGCGGGGCTCAGCCTGGCTAAACCTGGCCCCCAAGAGACATCTGATTGGGTGGAAGAGAAGAAGCCCCTCCCCTTCCTTTTCACATCTGACAGCCCACCTTAATTTGCGGCTATTAAATCCCGATGCAAGTTGAAACACCTCCCTGGTGGTGGTTTTTTTTTTTTTAAGCAGGTGGGTAGGGAAAAAAAAAGTTTTGGTTTTATCCCGAGGGCTAGAAACTTGATCTGTTCCTTTGCTTCCATTTTCCCCCTTTCTTTCTTTCTTTCTTTCTTTCTTTCTTTCTTTCTTTCTTTCTTTCTTTCTTTCTTTCCCTCCTTCCCTCCCTTTCTTTTTCTTTCTTTCCCCTTTCTTTCCTTCCTTCCTTCCTTCCTTCCTTCCTTCCTTCCTTCCTTCCTTCCCTCCCTCCCTCTTTCTTTTTCTTTCTTTCTCTTTCTTTCCCTTTCTTTTTCTCTCCCTCCCTCCCTCCCTCCTTCCTTCTCTCCCTCCCTCCCTCCCTCTCTCTCTTTCTTTCTCCGTTCTTTTTCTCTCTTTCTGAATCGTAATTCCTCTCCCGATGACTACTGTCTCTAAGAAAATTAGATTTTAAGCAGTTTTTTTTTTAATGGAAAAAAATAGACACTGAATAAATCCATGTTCATATTTCTTTTCCTTCTCTATCAAGACTTAGGACAAAGTCTTCCAGTAATTATCTAGACGAAAAGAGAGAGAGAGAGGTTGGTGAATATTTTTTTTCAACTGGCCTCAAAGTGTCCAAAGTGTGACTTTGGGGAGGGGGGGGCGAGACTCACAAAAAGTGAGAAGCTGGCACTTCTCCCACCTCACCTTTGGAGTTGGGGAAAAGTTGCACAAACTTGAACAGCCTGAATTTTCTCGCCCGCTTCCTGCTGTGGGTGGCCCGCCAGGGATTTTTGCAGCAAACTTATCCCTGTATTTAACCCAGCCCAACAATGTTGTGTTGTTGTGTTGTCATGTTGTCAGTTTAAGCCTTTTTGAGATGCAAAATGAATTTTTTTTTTTAGTTTTATTTTCTCGCTGGGGGAAACTGAGCTGAATTTGGCATCTGTTCTTGCAAATTCCAAGCCCAGGCTTGTAAAATCTGCCGTGCGTTTCTGAATCTCAGCGATTGTGACGGAATGAATGTTTTGCTCCCCGTTGCCCAGAAATTTAATTTAATTCAATTTAATTTAGCACCAAGAAATGCATACGACTAATGGTTAAAACAATCACAATTTTGCCCTCTTGCTAGCGGCCTCCCCTTTTTTCTGCATTTCATTTCTCTCAGGCCTGGGAAGATCTGTATTTTATTTATTTAGATAACCAGATATATTATTGGGAGGTGCCTAGAGAAGGACTTAAGCAGGGGAGGGGTCCTTCCTTCTCCCCCCCCCATTTTCCGGCTTCTTATTTTGCACCCTGTTGGAAGAATTCGTTGTAGGACATGCAAAGGGCTGAGAGGAAGCCGGTGTATTCCTTAAAATCAATCTCGTCATCGTTATTCTTGTCCAGGCTTTGCATCAGCTTGTCGATCCCACGATCCTTCATTTTCTGCAAGGGAGGAAAGGTCTGGGTTCAAGATACCAGGGAAAGCCAGTCCTGTGGCGAACCGTGGCTTCCCTTACTGACCACTGCATTCGCTTAATGACTGCTTCGTTCGCTTAATGACTGCCGCGGAAAGGGGCGTCAAATCGGGCACGATGACAAGGTCGCCCGCTTTACTACCAAAATTGCGGACTCCGCTACGGTGGTAAGCTGAGGACGACCCGCAATAGAGGCAAAACCGACCTGACCGATCCTCAGAATCATGAGGACTAGAACCCCAGGTTGAGTTTCTTGCATTTTTTCCTTTTTTTAAAAAAAAAAACATGCCCAGTTGAGCTTCCTCCATTAAGTGAGGGGCTCTTTCTCCGCCCAGCCCCCCCCCCCCAGCCTGCTTACCTCTCCCAGGGCCAGCTCCTGTTTCACCAGCTCCTTCAGTTCTCCTTTGCTCAAGGTAAACTTGTCGCCTTCTCGGCCGGAGTACTTGTGAAAGGTGCACACCAGGGTGGCCAAGGCTTTCTCCAGCGGGGTCTCCATGGGTCGGGGGGCACCGAGGGCGGTCTGGTGCCAGGAGGAAGAGGAGAAAGGAGAGGGGGGGGTCCATCAGTTGCACGTGATGGTGGGGATGGCAGCCACGATCCGATTTTACTCTATATTCACCGAGCATTATTTCCACTCATCCGTTTAATTTCTGGCCTCTGTAATAACCCAGCTTTTACCTCCAGCTTCCTCTACTGGGGTATTTCTCCATTTTAGCAACTTTTAAGATAGGTGGACTACAACTCCCAGAATTCCCCGGGTTAAGAAAACATTAGTGAATTCACTGGGGGGAAAAAAGACAGTTTTTCTCTTGGTTTGTAACTGTTGCTATTTTTTTTAAAGTACTTTTTTTCGATGTAAGTTCTTTATTTGGAATGTGTTTCTTTAAACCTTTCATTGTTTAATTCGATTATTGATTAAATATTTCTTTAAATGTTTCTTGTAGACATATATAGGTATGGGTAAATGCATATTTGTGTGTGTGTGTGTGTGTGCTTATATATGTATGCAGTTATGTATATATGCATTTTTTTTAACCTCCAGAATCTCCCTGGAGAGCGGACTTCCTTAAAAAGAGACTAAAGAGCTTGAAAATGGAGAGCTCACACAAGCGAGCCAAGATGTATTTTTGCAAAACCACACTGGATCTTGGCTGCCCTCTTTCAGGTGGGTTAAGTGTTTTGCTTACGTTCTGACTTGCCCCTTTGCTGATTGTGGCTGCTGGGAATGCCGGATGTGGCTGCTGGGAGTTGGAATCCAGTCCTCCTGCCGAGGGCCTGGATTCTGGAGAAAAGTTGAAGTGCTTGTTTCAAAGCCAGGGAGGCATTACAAAGGAATATGAGAAATTAAGATAAGGTTTGTGCAATGGAAAGAAAATGGGTGTGGGCAGATAAGTGTTATGTCCCCCCCCTTGTTATCTCCTAATATTGGTGCTTGGAAGGTCCAGCTAAGTTGATAATGTTTGGAACAAAGGACTTTCCTCAAAGCAAACTCACCCACGTATACAGAGAGGCATCACCATTTCAAAATATTTGTAGAAGATCTGGGAGCAGGGACAGAGATTCAGAAATTGGACAGAGATTCCCTTGATTGAGGGGACACACATACACACACACACACACACACACACACAACACACACACACACACATTCTAGAATAGGAAAGTAGCACAGAGTGAAATTCAGAGTACATTAAAAAAATAATCTTAATATAAGGGGCAATTAAAACGTCAGGCTTGGATGTTCAACCTCCATAAAAGAGTGAGTCAACCGTACATGCTAAGCTGAATAAATAAGTACAAAATTTGAAAAAGCCACCACCTTGTCCAAACATTAAGCCAGCTCAGACCATTGGAAAGTTAAATAATAACTCCTTATATTCCTGGTTAATTTTGTGGTTGGCTTAAGCCTCCTGCTTAGCAACGGGTGTGGTTTACAGAGATGAAAAAGGTTTGTGAATTCAATCAATAGGAATATCTTAGCGTAACGATCCACGGAACATTTATTACATATGTTCAAAGCACAGGCTTTTTATCTGCAAACGCCCTGATCTGTGAACTGAAGAGGCAAATTAGCAGAAAATAAGCTCTGCCAGAAGTCCTGATTGCAATAAAATGTGAATTTTAAAAATCTCAGCGTTCTGATTCCAAGACTCGCTGAGACTCGGGCAACTAAAATTTAACACATTATTGTTCGTTGTTATTATTTATAATAACAATAATGAACATAAGGTATATAAGTCTATTTAAGTGCTTTACTGGGAACCTACAAGGGGACACCCTTTCTTTGCAGCACAGTTGCTAGAAACCAGGATTCTGAGGTAGACTGCTCCTAAAGCTGGAGGCTTGGCTGCCTTCTCCTAGCTAACAGCTGCTAGGAAAAAAAAAGCTGGCAGATTAAAAAATACTTTTACAAAAAGACAAATGCATGGGAAATACAGAAGGGAAGAGACTTCACTAGAGGCTGAACCCCAATTTGACATGACGTTGCACCCAGTGAGGGGAAAGGAAAGGTTTTAAAACTGACAGCAGATCAAAGTAACTCACCGAAGAAGGTGGACGATGGGCTTGAGAGGCGAAGCAGGGAATTGGGTGTGGTGTGTAAGTATCTTCTTATACACACAGTGTGTGGGGTCTCCAGGGAGTGATGCTACAGGAAGGAACGTGGCAAAAGCCCTCAGGGACCCATCGCTTTCTCTCCCTGGACTCCACATTGGTTTGAACCGAGATCAAAACACCCCAGATCTGAAGTTGCTTAACACCCATTCAGAAGTACAGACCTCCCTGGCAGAAGAATCTTTTCTAAAATCAACCCGCACTTCTTTCTGTTATTAATATGCATTTCATCTCCTCTGGTTTTTTTTTTTTTTTAAAAAGGGGGTTTTTTAAATATAAATTTTATTGAAAGTTTACGAGCCATCCCGAGAACGCGCACCAACTGAAATAGAATGGAGAGGATGAAAAGAAAGAAATTAAAGAAAGATCTGGAGGTGCGATCAGGAAAGAAAACAGAAGAAGCGATAGAAAGAAAGACATAAAGATAGGATTCATACGTATCATTCAGATTGAAAGTTCTAAGAGCAATAAGGAGAATGAATACGAACTAAAGCAAGGCAGAGAAAGAAAGAAAAGATAAGCAGAACAGGAGGTAGAAAAAAGGTATAAGGAATGTTTTTTTAATGTATAATTGTTATTGGGAATTTTAAGAGCAATAATGATAGAAATGAAAATGGAACAGGAAAAGAAAGAAAGAAAGAAAGAAAGAGAGAAAGAAAGAAAGAAGAAAGAAAGAAAGAAAAAAAGAAAAAAGAAAGAAGGATATAAAAATATAATGGGTTTTTTATGTATAATTCTGAACAGCGGCTTTAAGACCAACAGTAAGAACTAATATAAAGTAAAACAGAACAGAAAGGGAAGAAATAAGCGAAGAACTACATGATAAGGAACAAGCAGAAGGAAGTAGGAAACAAAATAGAAAGAAAGATATAAAGTTATAATTTTAAAAAGCAAAAAAAAAGAAAGAAACTTTCCAAGATTACATCAGTGTCCTAGCTGGCAGAAATGTAGCAGGTCCTGTTTTCTTTCTTTTTGTTTATTTTGTAAAGCCAAAAGAGGCTTTTGGCCAGAGGGGGGGGGGGAAGGAAAGTCAAAATATAGACTCTGATCTTAGTCGAGAGGCTGGCATTTAAAAATAAATAAATAAAGAGGGAGAGAAAAGGGGGGGGGGAAGAGCCATTCTCAGCACTTAGCAGCCTGGAAAGCTTTGATCCCGCAGGGCAGGACCAAGAGGATGCAGGAGGGGAGCGGTTGCCTAGCAACGGAGGAAGCCAGGGACCAAGAAGGCGAGGGAAAAGATGCTCCCGGCTGCACGGAGTTTGCAAGAAAGTAAAGTTCTTGGTTGTTGTTTTTTTTTTTTGCAGAGTTGACCAGTCAGCTTCTTTGCTCTGAAGCTTCCCTTTTCCTTTCTCCTTCCATCTGCCTTCCTTCTCTTTCCTCCCTTCCTTTTTAACCCTTTTCCCTTTCCTTTCATTTTACTCCTTCCTTCCTCCATTCCCTTGCTCTTTCCTTCCTTCCTTCCCTCCCTGTCTTTCTCTCTATTCCCTTTTCCCTCCTTCCTTCCCTCGTTCTATTCCTTCCTTCCTTCCCTCCATCCCTTCTTTCCTTCCTTCCCTCTCTCTATTCCTTCCTCCCTGCCTTCTTTCTTTCACTCCCTCCTTCCCTTCCTTCTTGCTTCTTTCNTCCCTCCCTCCCTCCCTCCCTCCCTCCCTTCCTTCCTTCCTTCCTTCCTTCCTTTCCTTCCTTCCCTCCTATTACTGGCAGTTTTAAAATCGAACCCACTCGATCAACATCCCAGACCATTTTCTAAAGCCGACCTCCTCCCCACCGCCCCAGACTCCGATGCCCATCGTCCCCAGCCCATCAGGAGACAAGCAAACTTTTTTTTTTGAAAGCAAACTTTTATTTTGTTGTCGGGGGTGTGTGTGTGAGAGAGAGGCAACTGCAATTCTCCTCGCTGGAGAGACCTCCCCGATTCAGAAGCTGCGGTTGGCTAGAGGGGGGGGCAGGAGGGGGGGAAGCCGATGAGACCTTACACACACCTGTGCACTCTGCCCGCCTCGTTTGCACGCTTGGCCCACTGGCGATTTTGCCCGCCCCGCTTCATTTCTGCCGGGGCATCTTGTCCGGGAATGCGTGGAAAAAATCGTTGCATGCCATGGCGATGCAGGCGAGGAAGGTGGCGTATTCCTGGAAATCCACCTGGTTGTCCTTGTTGGAATCCAAGTTGCTCATAATTTTTTGAAACGTCGACTCGTCTTTTTTCTTCTGGGGGAGAAACAAAACAAAATTAAAAAAACACACACACAAAATGGAGCTTTTAAACTTGGGGGAGAAGGGAGGAAGTCGGGCGGAAAGTTTCACCCCGGCTCCTCTTTGGGTTGAGTTCAACTTTGTAAGGTAACTAAACTATGCTCAGGGCGGTCCTCGGATTACGGCCGTTTGCTTAGTGACCATTCAGAGTTACACAAAGTGGGAATAAAGGGACGTCGGGCCCTTTTTCACACTTCATGACTGTTGCAGCATCAAGTCCTTGGGAAGGACTCAATAAGTGGATTAAAAAAGGCCAAATCCAATCTAAACATCTGGCTGACTGCAAAGAACCATAATAATAATAATGATGATGATGATGATGATGATGATGATGATGATAGTAATAATATAATGATAGTAATAATAATAATCCCTGATTTACAACCATTTGTTTAGAGACCGTTCAAAGTTACAAAATTCGGACGCTGGGCAACTGCCTGAGCGAGAGAGGTTTGTGGTCGTAAGCTGAGGACTCCCCGTCGCTCATTCGCGGAGGGAGGTACTTACGCTGATGAATCCGGGCAGCTCCTGCTTCAGTAGCTCCTTCAGTTCCGTGTTGTTGAGTTTGAACTGGTCTCCTTCCTTCTGGGAATATTTGTGGAAGGTGACCACCATGGTGTCCAGGGCTTTCTCCAGGGGGGTGGCCATTTTGGGGTGCTGTTGAAAGAGGATGGAGCTGGGGAATTGGACGGAAGCGGCGGGATTAAGCATCTTGCATCAATGAAGCTTCCTCAACCTCGGTCACTTTGAACAGGTGGACTTCAACTCCCAGAATGCCCTAGTCCAGGGGTAGGCAACCTTGTCTCTTTTATGACTCGTGGACTTCAACTCCCAGAATTCCTGAGCCAGCCATGCTGAGGGGAAAGGAATTCTGGGAGTTGAAGTCCACGAGTCACAAAAGAGCCAAGGTTGCCTACCCCTGCCCTAGCCAATGGGAGTGGACTTCAACTCCCAGAATTCCCCAGCCAGAATGGAGCTCTGGGAGTGGAACTCCACCCATCTTCCAGTGCCCAAAGTTGGGAAATATTGCTCTGGCAACTGAAAGGGTTCTACTTGTGGGTAGGGTGGACAGCCACGCCCTGATTCAAATGGAAAATTCAGAGGAACGCCAACTTGGGCAGGCTTTTTAAAATGAAAACCTTAAAGGAAATTTGGCCTGCCATCAGGAAGGAAAGGAAAGGAAAGCACAGAGAAAGAAGAGGTACAAGAGGGAGGAAGGAAGACAGAGAAGAAAGGGATACAGAAGGAAGAAAGAGAAGGAAGAAGAATGGATAGAGAAGGAGGGAAGAGAAAAGGGAGAAAAGGAAGAGGGATGAAGGGAAGAAAAGGAAGGAAGGAAGAAGGAGGGATGGAGGGAAGAAAGGAAGGAAGGAGGGAGGGAGGGATGGAGGGAAGAAAAGGAAGGAGGGAGGGAGGGATGAAGGGAAGGAAGGAGACGGTTGGAGGGAAGGAAGGAAAGTATCTACAGGATTGTCTGCCTGTGGTTTTTGTGGCTAGGACAAAAAACCTGATTTTTCCACCCCTTAACCTGCTTCTCCTTTCTTTCCCCCTTGCTCTGAGTCACCCAAGCCAGCCACCCCTTGGGGGGGGGAAAGGTGGGGTGAGTCTCGTTGCAGAAGAGAGGAAACCATGAGTCATTCCGATGCCAGCCTGGCACCTTTGGGATGGCATCCGGGGCAAAGGAAGAGAAAGCGGCCCTTTAAGTGTCGAAAAAACTAAACAAACGCGGTGCGTAGAAATCCGCGGTGAAAAAGCTAAGGGGGACGCAGCGTATGGGATAAATTTGGAGGTGCTTTGGGGTTCAAATTCTCCTCTTCCCCCCCCAACCTTAGTTATGGAATACCCAGCGTTTGGAGGTTTGTTGCCTGCTAGTCCCTGATGTCAGGAAAGCCCTTTGCACATGCACAGAGGTTGGTTTCATGCTTGTCTAGCACCATTCCTGGTTTTCTTTCAGGAATGGGACCCCACTAATCAATAAAATAACAGGTAAATAAGATTTCAGTTAAGACCCAGCTGCCGTTTGGAAGAGCAGGCTGAGAGGACAACAGTCACACCAGTTTTGGCAGCAGGATTTATATACAATGGATAGAAAGGGAAGAATTATTTGTGAATCTTTCCTTCCTTCCTTCCTTTTCCCTCTCTCCGTCCCTCTCTCCTCTTCCCTTCCTTTTTTCCTTCTTTCCTTTCCTCCTCTTTTCTTTTTTCTTTTCTCTCCATCCTTCCCTTTCTGCCATTGCTTCTCTTCTCTTCTCTTTTTTATCTTCTCTTTCTTTTGTTTTGTCTTTCCTTTCTCTCCCCTTTCCTTTCTGCCTGTTGATCTTTCCATCCTTACAGATTCCATCTGGAAGTAAAACCAAACCTGCCTCTAAATCTCCTCCTTAAAGGGGGATCCTTTGGGGCAGATCCTTTGCTTGGCCAAAGCCCGGATCTCGTTCCCTGGCACAGAAAAAAAAAACCCACTTACCAGACCGGAAACTGAGGCTGGACTTCAGCGGGCAGAATGAAGAGCCCCTGGCCATCCGGCCATTATTTGTAACCTTGGCCAATCTGGGCTTTTATTTGGGGCACCCAGAGGTCCTCCCCCAGCTCTCCGAGAGGCCAATCGGAGTTGAGGTGGGATTTGTCACGCTGGAAGGGCTGTTTCCCCTTCTCTTAAGCCCTAAATTCCTCTCCCCCCCCGTTTTCCCCCCCCCCAGTGGTTTGGCACCAAAAATGCTGTGGCAGCCAAATGGCTCAGAAACTACAAAAGCAACAGGAAAGAGAGAGAGAATGAGAGAAGAGAGCAAATGAATGAGAGAGAGAGAGAGAGAGAGAGAGAGAGAGAGAGAATGTATTAGAGAGACAATGTGTGAGAAAGAATGACAGAATGAAAGAATGAGGAAGGGAGGAAGAGAGAATGAGAGAGAATGAGAATGAATGAGACAGAATGTGTGAGAGAATGAAAAGGAGAATGAGAGAAAGAATGAATGAATGAGAGGAAGGGAGGAAGAATGAGAGAATGAGAGAATGAAAGAGAGAATGTGAGAATGAGAAAGAATGACAGAAAAATGAGAGAAGAGAGAATGAGAGGAAGGGAGGAAGAGAGAATTAGAATGAGAAAGAATGAGAGACAGAATGTGAGAAAGAGAATGAGAAAGAACGACAGAATGAGAGAGAGAATGAGAGAAAAAGAATAGAGAGACGGAGACAAAGAGGGAGAGGGAGAGAGCAGGCCAAAACCCTTTGGTTTGGGGGTGGATAAAAATCTAATAAATGTATAGAAATATGAATAAACAATATAAAATTGGAGAAGACCGTTATCACCAATGCAGAGGAGAAAAACAGAAAACTCCTTTGATCTCTGCCTCCTGTCCCACCTGCAGGGGACAAAAATCCAGATATATGACGCTCTAGTGGTGAAGTCACCAGGCTAAAAAGTGGGAGGCAGCGAGTTCTAATCTTACCTGGGCCACGAAAGCTGGCTGGGTGACTCTGGGCCAGTCCCGCCCTCCCTCCCTCCCTTTTAGCCCACCTCACCGGGTTGTTGTCGTGGGGAAAACGGGAGGAGGAAAGAGTTTTAGGAACATTCATCACCTCGTTTGAAAAAAATAATATAAAGGCAGGATAGAAACGAACAAAACAAAAGCGACAATTCATTTTTTTTAATGAGATCTTTTTTTTTTTCCTTTGCTAGAACTCTCAGCTCTTCCCCTGTTCTCCACCTGGAGCCAGGACAGCCCGAAAAAAAATCTGTCTGTCCGGTAACGCCGACCTCTTAGTAGCGATGCCATCTGCAATTGTCCCCCCCCCTAGATCCGTGGTTGGGCCACGGGAGCATCCCGGAAGTGCAGATGGAAGAAAGTGAAGGCGGCCGCCACGAAACGGATGTACTCCTCAAAGGTGACCTGGCCGTCTTGATCGGTGTCCAGCAAGGTGAGCAGCTCTTCCAACGCCGGGCCTTTGATTTCCAGCTGGGAATTAATGTAAGTCAAAAAATATATATTTAGAGATGGCAATAAGATGTGACGATGGGGGCAGAAGCGACCCCTTTTTCCTATCCTTCCTGCCTGAGCAGGGGGTTGGACTAGATGACCTTCAAGGTCCCTTCCAAGTATTCTATATTCTATTCTATTCTACTCTATTCTATATTCTATTTTATAATCTATTCGATTCCATATTCTACATTCTACATTCTATTCTATTCTATTCTATTCTATTCTATTCTATTCTATTCTATTCTATTCTATTCTATTCTATGCTGTATTTTGTATTCTATTTTATTCTATTCTGTTCTATGTTCTATTTTATAATCTATTCTACTCCTTGAGCAGGAGACTTTACACCATTTCAATCAATTGGAACAGAGCCAGAAGGGACCTTGGAGGTCTTCTAGTCTAGCCCCCTGCTCAGGCAGGAGATGGCCTAGGCCATTCCAGACAAGGGACAGTCCACAGCCTCTTCTTACAAAACTCCCCAATAGTTGGGAATATTTGAAGCACCAACCGGCCTCCGTTTCTCCCCGCGCTGCAGCCGAAAGGAGATTGGGAATTTGTTTATTAATGTCGTTTATTAATGTTTATTCATTAATCGATTTACTCCCTCTGGATGGGAGATTTACCGTTTGCAAACTGGGCATTTCTGTCTGCAGGAGGTTCCGTAGCTCGGCTTTGCTAAGCATGTTGCGGTCCCCTTCCTTCCGGCAGTAGCGTTGAAACGTGCACACAACCTCCCCCAGGGCCTGCTCCAGAGTCTGGAACTGGGTCATCGCTGCAACAGGCGATCCTGCACGAACGAGAACACAGTCCTCTACTTACGACCATTTCTTCAGCGGCCGTCCGACGTTACGACGGTGCTGAAAACGGTGACTTACGACCAGTTCTTGCACGTATTGCAGAATCCCCCCACCATCATGTGAACAAAATTTGGGTGTTTGGCTTCCGGTGTGTATTTATGACGGTCGCAACGTCTCGACGTCATGTGATTGTCGTTTGCGATCTTCCCAGCCGGGGGGGGGGGGGGGAGAAGTCAGGGGGGGAAGCTGGATTCGTTTAACAACCGCAGTCATTTCGTTAACGACCGTGGGCGAAAAAGGTCTTAAAATCAGGGGTGACTCAGTTAATAGCCACCTGCAAGAAAAATTCGGCCTCAATTGTCATAAGTTGAGGACTGTCACTAAATGATGAACTATAACCCATAAACTATATAAACTATAAACTATAAATTATAAACTATAAATTGCAAACTATAAATTATAAACTGCAAACTGTATACTGTAAACTAAAAACTGCAAACTATAAATTATAAACTATAAACTGCAAACTAAAAACTGCAAACCGTGAACTATAAACCTAACTTAAAACTTAAAACTTTAAAAACTTCTTTTAAAAACTTTAAACTTAGAAACTTACTTAAAAACTTAGAAATCTAAAAACTTAAAAACTATAAATTAAGCCATACATCTTACTTGATAAGCTAAACATCTGATAAGCCAGTCATAAGTTAACCAACCTGCTTAGCAACGGAAATTCTGATCCCAGGGTCATAAAGTGAGGACTACCTATCCCTGCTGTTGTCTTAGTTTTGTTTAACTTTCTGCTGTGCCTTGGCCTTGGTGAACACAATTTTTGGGTTCCTTGTGGTATTGTTTTAGGAAATAAGTAAGAACAGGCAGTAGCTCGGCTTTGCCAGGAAGTTTTAAAATTCATAAACATCTCCTGTGGGTTTATTTATTTACTACGTTTTTATATCACCACTTCTTCCCAGGAATAACCCTCAAATTAAACAAGTTCAAACTGATCAGAAAACCAGCGTAATAAACCCAACCCTGGGAAAAACCTCACTTTTAAGAACGCAACGTTTACCTTTAGGGCACCGGGAGATTCGTTTTTAATTCCTGCCCATCAGCCCTTAATCCTTTGAGATAAAAATCAGAATGCTGCTTCCCCCCCCCCCCCGCAAATCTTTAAGAGCTAACTTTCCTGGAAAGAAGAGGCTGTTGAATCAACAACACAGATTATTTTTTTTTTAAGATCCTTTGCATTCTGGACCATCTCTTCTGGAATGGCTCACCAAGAACCACGTTTAAATTTTGTTTTATTTTGCAGTTTTCGTTCCCGGTTTGAGCGCACCTACCCAATTCCGAGGGAGAATCCAAGCTTTTGGCCATTGAAAAGATAAATAGAAATCCTTGCTGTACAGACTGCTGGGCTGCGACTTCCAGAAAGCTACACAAGACCGATATTTTTGTTGTTGGTTGGTTTCCGGTTTTAAAAGTGCCCTTGTTTATTCCGGATTCTTTTTGTTTTTCTCTCTGGAAAACTAAAAATAAAAACTGGTACAGAAGGCATCCATCAATAGCTATAATTTCTCCCTGCCCAATCCTTTTTGAAGAAAATAATAATATATATATAAATTTATATACACGAATCAGATGAGCTCACCGGCTTTGGAGGATGTTCACCGCGGTGAATTCATCGGGAAAGCTGGAACGAAAACGGGCAGAATTTCAACCGGCGGAGTTCGGGAGTTCCTCCAGTGAGGCCACCTGTTTTGCTGAGTGTACAAGCAGGTTTGGCAAATATGCACAATGATTGTGTCTGCCTATCATTTGCGACACACCCTTGTCTTGAAGGCGCCCGCTGTTTATCTCACACTCTGAAAACGCTGGGCTGGCAAGGCCTCGACGTACGACCACAATCGCAATCACGCCGTTAAACGAAGCCGGCTCCTTCCCCCCCCCCCCAATTGACTTGGCCTGTCAGAAGCTGGCTGGGAAGGTCGCCAATGGGGATCACGTGATCCCCTGGGACGTTGCAACCGTCGTAAATGCGTGCTGGTTTTGCCAAACGCCCCAATTTTGATCACCGCGACTGTTGTAAGTGCGAGGACTGGTCGTAAATACCGGTTTTTTTAACCGGCATTCTTTGCTTGTTTTTTTTTTTTTTAAGGCCCAATTTTACCCATCTTCGCTACATTTTTGCAAAGCGTCGTGGCAGAGATTCATGTCAAAACGGCGAACCAAAGATGGGTTGTGACAGACAAGGGTTGTGTGTTCAAAAAAACCAAATCTTTATTTGCCAACAGGGAGAGACCTCCTGTGGGTCTTCACAAGAGACGTAGCCCCCCAAATTCCCACCCCACCCCAAGCGCCAACTTCATCGCTTCCGATTGTTCTCGTCCGCACATTCCTGGAAGAATGCGTAGCAGAGTGAGGCCGTCAGGGCCAAAAACACGGCGTATTCTTGGAAATCTAATTCTTCGTCTTCGTTGTCGTCCAGTTTCTCCATCAGAAATTCAAAACCGCGTTCGTTGATCTTCCCCTGCGAGAAGGAAAGAAGCAAGGTCGAAATAAAGCCCGGGATCGTTTTTCCTCCCCCCAAAATCAGAGCCTCCTCCCTGGAGGAGGATGGTCTCTGATCCTGGATACCAGAATAGTAGAGGAACAGAATGACAGGAGTTCGGAGGGACCTCGGAAGTCATCTAGTCCAACCCCCTGCTCAGAATACAGAATGACAGGAGTTGGGAGGGACCTTGGAGGTCTTCTAGTCCAGCCCCCTGCTCAGGCAGGGAGGGAGGGAGGAAAGAAGGAAGGAAGGAAATAGGAAGGAGGGAGGGAGGAAGGAAGGAAGGATTAGAGGGGGCAGGATGGGAGGGAAAGAAGGAAGGATTTAGACGGAAAGGAAGGAAGGATTAGAGGGGGAAGGAAGGAAGGAAGGAAGGAAGGAAGGAAAGGAAGGAAGGAAGGAAGGGAAGGAAGGAAGGAAGGAAGGAAGGAAGGAAGGAAGGAAGGAAGGAAGGAAGGAAGGAAGGAAGGAAGAGCATTTCAAGCCCCTTCCTCACCTTGACAAAATTGGGCATTTCCTCCAGAAGCAGCTCCTTCATCTCTTTTTTGTTGAGTTTGTATTTGTCGCCTTCCTTTGCGGAATATTTGTAAAAGGTTTCGACCATCACACCTAAGGCTTCTTCAAGCGGGGTCTCCATCTTGGATCCTGGGGGAGAAAAGCAGAAGAGTTGGAAGATTCAGGGACTCCTTTTTACGGCCGGCAGAAGCCACCACCCCCCAGAAGGACGTTGCGCCTTAACCAATCTCCTTCGTAGCGCCAAGCTTGCCGTCCTTTCATGTCTTCACACCAAGCGGGCTTCCAAATTGTCACAATCCTCTTCCGACGGGCAAAGTCGATGGGAGAAGCCAGGTTCGCTTGACAAAACGCACAATTTACTTCGCAACTGCGGTGATTCACTTAGCAACCGTGGGAAAAATGGTCGTAAAATTGGACGCGCAACTCGCTGAATGACTGCCTTGCTTAATAACGGAAATTCTGGCCTTAACTGTGGATCATAAGTCAGGAACTATCTATAGAGTTCACAATTTGATTTTTTTTTTAAAGAAAAGACCTGTGCCTTAAAAATCTGCACTACAGAGAAAGATGCCTAAATTCAATGAATTATGGAAGGAAAACAAAAATTAGGAGAAGAAAAAGCAGATTTTAGAGGGCGTTTTCTTGGGCCAAGAATTGAGAGAAGGGTTTTTTTAAAGGATTTTTCCTCTTGGGAAAAGGAGAAGCAGAGTGAGACTCAACTGAAAAACAACACACGTTTATACAGCATGAGTTGTATTTTGAATTTCAAGTGTTGTAGCCTTGAATAACAGCAAGGATCCAGTTTTCTGCAGGGACCCCCTTTTCTTCTGGACTTCTTTTAAAGTCCGAGGGCTTTGGGGACCTGAGCGGGTGAAAGGAACCCGGGTTTCAAATAACTTTGGAAAGCATCTTGGGGTCCAGGCTAGCCCCCCTGCGCTTCCTTTTTGCAAACAAATTTAGGGAAGGAATAATTGGCAAAGAAGAGGAGGAGGAGGAGGAGAGAAAGTCACTTACCCAGTTGAGATAAAGAGGAGAAGAAGGAGGGGTGGGAAAGCAGCTATAAAGATACGGATTCCGCCGGCTTTTGCTTCTGCGTCTCAGGACGATCTAATCCTCCTTTTCACCTTTCCGGTTGCTCTTCCCTCCCAGCCGGTTCTGCGTTCGAGCCTCACCCAGATTTCCTACCTTGTCTCAAACCAGTTTGGCAGGAGACCTCGGGGACTGGAGAAAGTGACCTCAGTAGATCTCCAGCAGCTGGCAGAAAATGAGCCCATTTGTAATGGAGGGAGGAATGAATGAATGAATGAATGAAGGAAGGAAGGAAGGAAGGAAGGAAGGAAGGAAGGAAGGAAGGAAGGAAGGAAGGAAAGGGAGGAAGGAAGGTAGGAAGGAAGGAAATGGATGGATGATGGAGGAGGAGGAAGGAGAAGGAAGGGATAGATGATGGAGGAGAATGAAGAGAAGGAGATGGATGGAAGGAAGGAAGGAGAAAAAGATGGAGTAGGAGAGGATGAAGGAGAAGGAGAAAATAAAGGGATGGATGGAAGAAGAGGAAGAGAATGAAGAAAGGAGAGAAAGAAGAAGAAGAAGCTTATTTATTCCTGATGTTCAATTGCTATCAGAACAGAAAGAAGGGCAGGATTTTGGGTCTCCCATGTCTCCCCCCCTCCAGCCCCCCCCCCCCGTTCTATTTTGCTTCGGGGTTATTTCTTTTAATCCCCTCGACTCCTCCTTCCAGTTCTCCTGGCTTTCTTTGCACAATTCCCGCAGCCTCTGAATCGTGGCAGATCTTCTAAATACCACCTCTGCCTCTTGCAAGCCCAGACCAACAGGAGCCACAGCCTCCAGCCCACCTGTCGGAACCTGTCGGACAGGTATGGCCAGAAGGCCCCACCCAGGACATGAAAAAGGCTGCCAAATCCAGCCAGGTTCGGTTAACTGACACCTGGATCAGCAGTGGAAATCCGGGTCCCACTGGTCATAAGTTGGGGAACCGCCACTAAACTATAAATTATAAACTATAAACCATACAGGTGGTAAACAACCCTCCGTTATTAACAGACACCTCGCTTAGCAACGGAAATTCTGGTGGTCGTAAGCCGAGGTCTTGCCACTAAACTAATTCAGAAACTAATTCTTTTAATTCCTATTAATGTTCTTCCATGCTTTATTTTTACTGATTTGTGGCTTTGGTATTGTTAGGGTTACATTTTAAAATCATTTTTTCCCTTCTACTCTTGCAAGCTTCACGGAGTAGCTCCACGGCGAGATGGGCGGTAAATAAACTTAACAAATAAATAATAACTAAATGAAACTAAACTAAGCTAAACTAGGCTAAACCTAAATGTAAACCTAAATTTAAACCTAAACTCTAGACTAAAGTAAACCTCAGACCTTAAACTCAAACTCAAACTTAGCTCAAAATCAAACTTAATTTAAACTTAAACTCAAACTCTAATTTAACTTAAACTCAAACTCAAACTTAGCTTAAACTTAAACTCACATTCACACTTAAACATCTGACAATTTAAAGCGAATAACTAAATTAAACCTCATACTTTAAGCCTTAGGCCTTAAACTTAAACTCACACTTAAAGTTAAACATCTGACACACAACCCTCCCACGTCTGCTGGAAAACCAGAAAAGGAGACTTTCCCACTTCAAGTGGCAACCTGTTCCACCGTCTCCTCGGTTATATAATCAGGAAATCTTCAGGATGCCTAGCCTGATTTGTAATCTCAGCCTCCCAGGAGCTGGAAATTGGACCTTCCTTCCCCTCGGGGCACCCACACCCCAGGCCCGCCTTTCGCACGGAGACTGCCTCTTACTCTGCAGGATCTCTTTTGCATCCAGCCAGTCTGTCTGTCTCTCTCTGTCTCTCTCTCTCTCTCTCTCTCTCTCTGTGTGTGTATTTATTTTTCCTGCCCAGGCAAGAAGATGCTTCCTTAAAACTCTTTTGAGATGACTCGTTTTCCTAGTTTGGGATGCTTGGATCTTTTTTTAAAAGGTTTTGCAGATAGAGTGTGCTGGTCCAGGGAGGTTCTGCTTACAGTCAGAATAGGATTAGGATCCATAGGATTTTTTTAAAACAAAAAAAAAACCACTGTCTTTTATCTTTGATCATTTTAATTGGTTTTGATTATTTACAATGTTTTTCTCTCTCTATTTTCCGGCCTCAAAACAACGAGCAGAGCAGCATATAAACTCAACAAATCAATTTTGAAAACCAAAATCAATAAATCCGGGCCTCTCTTCCCACACCGTGGCAGCGGTTCCTGTCCATCAGCTACCACTTTTGACCTGGAGGGAGGGGAGGAATTAACTTTGCTCATTTTATTTATTCACCCATTTATTAAATGGATAGTTTCTCTCCCCCCCCATCTCTCTGATACAGAGATAAAATTAATTTAATGAGTGGATCAATAAAGGAGCACAATTAAACTTAAAATTCTCAGCCAGCTTGGGTGGAAACTTGGGTCTCCGGAGAAGGAGAGGAGGCTTCACCAGTTGAACTTCGGCCTGCCTGCCCTGGTGTGCTCATCATTCCCCCCTCCCGTTTTTGAAGCTTCAATTCCACAGATCAGCGTTCTTTTTTTTTTTGAGGGGGGGGGAAAAAGCATTTTGCAGCCCCGGCTGGATTCGAACAATCCTCTTTTGAAGGGAGACTGCTGATGGAAGTTTTTGGATGGCTGCCTGCAGCCGGGCCCGTCCGTTGGTCCGCGGCTTGCAGAATGCCTTTTCTGATTGTGCTGCTGCGTGGTGCGTGTTGTGTGTGTGTAGCCAGGCGTGGCCCGCTTTGTCCTCCCTCGCCACGGGCCACATCCTGAACCCTCTCAGCCGCTCCCGAAGGCTGAGCGCACATTGATGCCCGCATTGTTCCCTGGCACCGTCTCGGCAGAGAGCGGAAATCCAGTTCTGCGTGCCCCACCCCCACCCCCGGATCCCAGCCAACCCAGAAGGATCGTCTTCCCAGCTACTGGGATCGGGAGGTAGACTGCTCCCCGGAGTGGAAGCTCCACGGGTCTTCTCCCTTTCCGTTTGGGGTGCTCTTTGAACCCCCCTGGCAGTGCCATGTTGTGCCTGGCAAAATGGGGAAGGGGTGGGGTGGGCCATCAATATTCCCTTTATTTCTTTCGGTTATTATTTTCACAAATCACTCAGACGTATCCAATTCGCCTTCCTCTTCCCAGTTTTCCCTGTAACAACAAGCCTGTGAGGTGAGCTGGCACCCAGTCGGCTTTTATGACTAAAGCGGAGCTAGAACTCCCTTCCTCCCGAGGATTGGAGGAAGGACGCCAAGTGGGCTTTCGTGTCTAAGGCGGGACTAGAACTCCCCGTCTCCTGGGGATTGGCCCAAAGTCAATCAGCCAACTTTCTGCCTAAGGCAGGACTAGAACTCCCAGCCTCCTGGTGATTGATTGGCAGAAAAGCACCAAGCCGGCTTTCCTGCCTAAGGCGGGACTAGAACTCCCAGTCTCCCACTTACTACCCTGGTGGCTTCACCATTAGCTCAAACCAGCCCTTTAAAAGACAAAAACTGCCTTTTATACTCAGAGCTGCAGAAAGAGAAGGGGGGGGGGGAATGGATATTTCCACAAATGCCTAAATTGGTCCTTTTTTTCCAGCTGGGCTCTTCAGTTGCGCCACTCGGCCAGCGGCACACACACACACACACAAACGCACACACACAAACACACGTTTCCCCGAAAAAATCTGGAGCCGAGATGACTGTGCTGGATGTTAACGAGATGAGTCATCCGACAGGCATGGCGGAGTTGTTCGAAGTCCAGCTTTGAGCCAGGAAAGATGATGATGATGTTTGTTCCGTGACCGACAGCGGGGTAAAATTCCCATTCGGAGGATTGGACCGGGCTGGCTTTAAATCTCATTGCTGGTAGTCCTCGACTTACGACTATCCGTTTAATGGCCTTTTCAAGCTGCGATTCCGCTGAAAAAAGGAGACATTTCCCCCACGTGCCCAGCTCCTGAGCATACGCAGAGGGCATAACATCCCCTCCCTCTCTCCCTGTTGAATAACCGTCAAGAGCCCTGAAAGGGTGCCCATGCTTTTCCCAGCTTTTTCCACTGTATCTTTCCCGTAATATTGCTGTCTGCTGTGTGCTGCCCTCTGGTGGTTCTCATGGGTCACTGCAGGGCAAGGGCGGGTCTGCTGGTGTCTCCAAAGCCCTTTGTCGCCCTCTGCTGGTCAGAATGCAGAACTTGGCCTCTGCTTCCTCCCACTCATTTTTTGCAAAAACTTTTTAGCATAAAAAAAAAAGCTGGCTGGGGAATTCTGGGAGTTGAAGTCCACCCGTCCTTAAACTGATATGGACAGAGCCATGTTTTTTTTTTATTTATTTTTTTTAACGTTATTTAGAGACCTGACGGATAGTTTTAGCTGGTCTTGAAATTAGATTCCCTGATTTTTGCGCACCGGGTAAAGAAAAAAGCGGGACTTTGTTAAATTCTGCCCCTGTTTTTCCTTAAGGCGAATCTCAAGACTGTGGGATTCGAAGTGGAGCGAAAATGCATTCGTTAACCTGTGGAACTCCCTGCCACAAGATGTGACGGAGGGGGCGCGCGCGCGCAAGCTAAATTGTTTTTATCTATTTTACTCTATTTAACACAGAAGTGGGGGATGTTGCAAGTCCAGGACGACCTATAGTCTGTTGCAGAGAGGCAGTGGGCCTCGTCCGTCCTTCTTGAGGACTGGAAGCTTGTTTGAGGAGAAAGATTTTGCAAAGAGGACCCTGAGTTTTGCGGCTTCGACTTTTATTCCAGTGTTATTCACAGTTTGACAACTTCCTTAATTTCTGAGATACCTCCCCCCCCAGCCTCCCCTGAATTTCTCCTTCCCCACAGGGGGTGTTATATCCCTTTGATTCAGGGGCCATCTTTCTTTTCCGCCTCATATTCCTTCCTCTTGGAGAAGTGCTGGGCCATTTCACTCATCAGATTCCAATATTCGTCAAAACTGATCTTCTTGTCGCCATCCGCATCCAGCCTTTTGAACTCTTCGTCGGCCAGCTTCTTCTCCTTGGCGCCCTTGAAGGTAGAAAGCAGAGGAAAACCGATCAGGCGGATGAGGAAAACTGATCTCCATCCACTTCAGAGACACGGTGGGGAGGGGTATAACTCTGTCTTTAATTTGGAGTGGGGTCCTTAGCCCCCCTCTCTCTGTCTGCCTGGCGGCCCCCATCATCCTCAATGGATAACCGGTTCCCTGATGGGAGTCGGAGTCCTTAGAAACGAGCAGAGCGTCATGCTTTTGCTTCCCCCCCCCTTGATGCTCAGCCCACCAGCCCTTTGAGGTAGACCAGGTCAAAAAACAGGAAGAGAGTCTAAGAACGCTACTTATAGACAGGGCAGTGTTTCTCAACCTTGGCCATTTTAAGATGGCAGGGGGGGACTTCAACTCCCAGAATTCCTTATAGCTTTGTTGGCTGGGGAATTCTGGGAGTTGAAGTCCCCCCCCCTTCCCCATCGCGTCTTAAAGTGGCTAAGCTTGAGAAATATTGACATAGGTTAATCCTGAAATCCTGCCTGAAATTCTCTTCTGTTTGAGCCCAATTTCAAACAGGACCCGAGTTCAGGAGTCGTCCCGCTCACATTCAGCATGTGGTTCAGTTTATTTCTGAGCATCTCTCTGAATTCGTTCTGGTTGATCCCTTGCTCTTTATTGTTCCAGAAACTTTTGTGGCAGTGTTTGTTGTAACACTCTACCACAGTTTCGATAGCCCGCTCGAGATCAGTCGTCACCGTCGGGCTCTCCTTGGCTCCTGGGGAAAAAAAAAAGGGTTGATCAACTGTTGGTCCCCTTTCCACTCCTGCGTCCTGCGTGGCGTGAATTAAATCAAGAGCTTTCTCAATTATGCATTTAAATTAGGCTTTGGGACACAGAGACTCCTCAGAAAACAGAAATAAAAAGAAAAGCCCTAGATGAAGAAAGGGAAAAACGAAACGAAAAGATAAAAAAGGAAATGCAGGAAGAGAAAGACAAATAAAATAAAATAAAATAAAATAAAATAAAATAAAATAAAATAAAATAAAATAAAATAAAATAAAAGCAGGAAAGTAGGAACAACAAAATAGACCCAAGAAAAAGAGAAACAGAAAGAAAGAAAACGCTTTGGGAGAATATGCGACGGGCAGGCTAAATGTTTGATAAATCAACACATAATACAGTATATATACAGCTCACCACAGTTTCATGTGCTTTAACTACAGCTCACGGCCCTCTCTAGTTTCCTTCCTGAGGACTAGCAGCTTGGATTAAACCCAACCAGCTCGGCGAATATTTTTTTTTTTAATTTAATTTAATTTTTTTGGTCATTACAATCCACCTAGGTTTGCAGCCCCTTGAATGTTTTGCAAAAAGGTATAAAGAACACCGGCTCTGCTCTGTCTCTCTCCAGAAAATCTTTTTCAGCGCCGTTGTAACTTCGAAGGCTTGTAAGTGGGGGGGACTGGCTGTATTCTGCCTGATCGCACCATCAGCCAGATGTTCAAGACGGATTTGGCCATCGTGTCCTTCCCAAGGACCCCTGTTAGGCAGATGTGGTTGTGTTAGGACGTGAAAGGCCTTGACACAGGACAGCTGGGACAAGTCACATTCCTTTGAGCGACGGGGAGGGTGTCCAATAATCTCTCTCTCTCTTTTTTTCTTTTTTTTTGCTTTTAAGGTGGCATCTGCCCACCCACTTACCTTTCAGTGCCCCCATTGTGGCTGGCATTCCTTACCTTCCATGCTGGCTTGTGTGGTTGGGCTCTCCCGCGGCTTTCCTGGCCTGTCCTGCCTGCCTGCCTGCCTGTCCGACTTGCCTCTGTTTATCAAGCTGGTCTGTCCGAGGTTCAATAACTCTTATCCAAAAGTTATGCCCGGCCTCCAGATGACGAGGCCAGGAGGGCCTTCCTTTTAAAGGGAAAAGTTCCTCCTCTCTCCCTCTTTCTTCCACACACCCCCCCCCGCCTTCTTTGGGGTGTTCCTCTGGCTAATCCCACCCACCCACGATTGCCAAATCGCCCCCCTGGCTTGGCCCAGGCTGGGCACTGCTGTGCCCGGCACTATGGTGGCACAAAGCATAGCAGAGAGGGTTCCCCCCCCCCCCGGTCTCCAGTGGGGACAGTCAAGGCCCAGGCTGGAGAAGCAAAAAAAAAAAGGGGGGGGAAGGGGTGACATATTTCAATCAGGATCTGGAGGGTGGGCACGGCGCTATCGTTCTGCAAACAGCGCCCTCGGCAGCTGCTCCGGATTCATCCTGAGAACAACATTGTTCTAACTAATTCAGAACTCGCCAGCGGCAGCACCTTAAAAGCTGGTTAATCATTTATCAATCAGAATCAATCCGAACAGAGCTGGAAGGGACCTTGGAGGTCTTCTAGTCCAGCCCCCTGCTCAAGCAGGAAACCCTATCCTATTTCTGTCCAATCTCTTCTTAAAAACCTCCAAGGATGGAGCACCCACAACTTCTGGAGGCAAGCAGTTCCACTGGTTAACTGTTCTCGTGACCAGGAAATCTCTCCTTAATTCTAGTTAAGTTTGCTCAAGGTTAGGTTTTTCTCTGGAAACCCCGTTGTAAACGCCGTTCAGGAAATTCCTCCTTTTATGCCAGGTTGCTTCTCTCCTTGATTAACTCCCATCCGTGGCTTCTTCTCCTGCCTTCAGGGGCTTTGGGAAATAGGTTGACCCCCCCTCTTCTTTGGGGCAGCCCCTCAAATATTGGAAGGCTGCTATCATGTCCCCCCTCGTCCTTCTTTTCATTAAAACAGACGTACCCAAATCCTGCCACCGTTCTTCAGTATGTTATAGTCTCCAGGCCTTTAATCATCCTAGTTGCTCTTCTCTGCCCTTTTTCCAAAGCCTCAACATCTTTTTTGTAATGTGGTGACACAAACTGGATCTTTTGGGATCCTGAGTTTGTCTTATGGGGTGTCGGGTGTTCCTGCCAGCTTTGTGTCCTCTGCAAATTTGATGAGTTCCCCTTTTATTCCCTCATCTAAGTCACTGATGAAGATGTTGAAGAGTAGCCTTGTGGTACCCCACGGCTTACCTCCCTCCATGTAGACTCCATGCAGGGGGTTGGACTAGATGACCTCCGAGGTCCCTTCAAACTTTATTATTATTATTATTATTATTATTATTATTATTATTATTATTATTATTATTATTATTATTATTATTATTACTATTATTACTATTATTACTATTATTACTATTATTACTATTAACCATTAAGGACAACTTGTTGAGTACGGTTTGTCAGGCTTTTTAAAGCTGCCCAGGTTGAAAAACTCTGATATCGCTAGAGGCAGATTTTTTCCCCCTTCTTTGTGAGGTTATTTTAGAGACCTGACGGACTTAAATCAGATTTCCTGATTTCTGGTACGCCCTGTAAAGAAAACGGCTTTTGTAAATTCTGCCCCTATTTTTCCTTAGGATGAAACTCAAACTGTGGAGATTTGAAGCAGAACAGAAGGAAGATGCATTCGTTGGCTTCCGGAACTCCCTGCCACAAGATGTGAGTGGGGGCCACAAGGTAAACAATTTTTTAAATCTATTTTACTAAAAATAAAAAAAATCCTCTGCTTAACGTAGAAGCAGGGGATGCTGTAAGCCGAGGACGACCTGTATTTTGTTTCAGAGAGGCCGTTGGCTTCGTTCTGGCCTCAATGAGGACCAGAAGCTTTTTTGAGGGGAAAGAGTTTACAAAGAAACGAGAGACAGTCCTGGGTTTTGAGGCGCCAACCTTTATTCCAGTGTTATTCACAGTTTGACAACTCCCTTAATTTCTGAGGACCCCCCCTCCCCTGCCCCAGAGTTCCCCTGCCCCACATTCTTAAGGTTAGCCGGACCAAAATGCAGGGAACTAGGGGTCAGCAATGGGGTCAAGGGGCTTTTGGGGTCATTACGGTGGATTATTTCCCTTTGATTCCACGGCTGTCTTTATTTTTTGAATTTCTCATTCTCTTCCTGCTGTCGGATCAGGCAGGAGATGGGGCTGGCGATGCCCCCGATCAAGTTCCAATATTCGTCAAAGTTGATCTCCCCGTCCTGATTCTCATCCAGGTCGCAGATCAGTTTGTCGGCCGCCTGCCTGTTCTTGGTGTCCTGGAGGGTAGGAAGTGGAGGAAAGAGGATCAGGCGGATGAGGAAAACTGGTTTCCACCCAGTTCAGAGGCGCGGTGGGGAGGGGAATAACTCCGTCTTTAATTTGGAGTGAGGAACAGAACAGAACAGAACAGAATAAAATAGAATATTGAGTGGAATCTATTTAATACTATAGAATAGAATATTAGGAATAGAATGGAAGGGAATAGAAGAGAAAGAATAGAATAGAATAGAGAGTTGGAAGGAACCTCAGAGGTCATCTAGTCCAACCCCCTATTCACTGTTAGGAAGTTTCTTCTTAGCCTTCTCTCTGTCTGGCCTGGGGTCCCCATCATCCTGAATGGATAACCGTCTCCCTAATGGGAGTCGGAGTCCCTAGAAACGGGGAGAGCGTCATGCTTTCGCATTTCTTTTTCCTTGGCGCTCAGTCCACCAGCCCTTCGAGGTAGACCAGGTCAGAACCAGGAAGGATCCCAAGCATGCTAATTTGATGACACAGGGCAGTGTTTTCTCAGCCTCAGAAACTTTAAGATGGATGGACTTCAACTCCCAGAAGTCCCCAGCCTGCTTTGCTTATCGCTTTGCTGGCCGGGGAATTCTGGGAGTTGAAGTCCAGCCATCTTAAAAGTTGAGAAACACGGACAGAGGTGTGACGACTTTAATGTTGCGGGTTATGATCACAAAATCCTGAAATCCCATCGGAAATCCCCCTCCATTTGAGCCCAAATTCGGACGGGACCCGAGTTCAGGAGCCGCCCTGCTCACCGTCAGCATGTGGTTCAGTTCGTGGCTAAGCATCTTCCTGAAGTCGGATTTGCTGATCCCTCGCCGTCTGCGGCAACAACATCCTTTCCCGGAGTATTTGTTGTAGTTTTTCACCAGGGTCTGGATAGCCCACTCCAGCTCCGAAGAGTCTCCTGTCACCGTCATGCTGCCTTTGGCTCCTGGGGAAAAAAAAAAATCAAAAATAGGTTTGATCACCCGTTGGTACCCTTTCCGCTTTGTGAAATGAACCAGTTAAGACCTTCCTCAACGTTGCCGAATTTAAATGGAAAATTAAATCTCTGCCTGTAAACAAACAAACAAACAAACAAAAACCACACCACAGTTTCTTGCCTATTTGATGTGGATTCGAGTCACGCTTCTGACCGAGCTTGCAATTCTGGTCTGTCTGGAGTTTTTGTGTTATTCGTCATTCGGCGTGTTGTGGCTTTCCCCGGGGTTGCGTGGTTGGTTTTTTTTTTTTGCAAAAACTGATTAGAGCTTGGCGTGCTTCTGGTTTTTTGATTATTATTATTATTTTTTTGCCAGCAAATCTTTTTAAGATGGAAAAGGAATCCAGCAGATTCAAGCCAACATTGTGCTGGCTCAACACGACTGTGCGGTCTGTTACAGGCAAGTCCTCCACTTACGGCTACAATAGGCCCCCCCCCAAATTTCCATGGCTGAGTGACGGTCAAGTGAGATTTGCCCCGTTTTACGGCCTTTCTCGCCACTGTTCTTAAGTGAACCACTGCAGTTGTTAAATTAGCAACACGGTTGTTAAGTGGCTCCCCCATTGTCAGAGGGTCGCAAAAGGGGATGATGTGACCCCGGGACGCTGCAACCGTCGTAAATGTGAGTCAGTTGGCAAGTGTCTGAATTTTGATCACGTGGGGGGATGCTGCAGTGGTTGTAAGTATGAAAAACGGTCCTAGGTCCCTTTTTAAGGTGTCGTTGTAACTTTGAACAGTCACTAAAAGAATTGACGTAAATTGAGGACTATTTTGTTGTTGTTGTTGTTATCGTTCTTTGCACAGTCAGCCAGATGTTTAGATTGGATTTAGCCTTTTTTGTCCGCTTATTCATTGGGTCTGAGAAAGTGGGGGGGGGGGGGTTTGGGCGCCTCCCAAGAATTCATCCCCGAAGGAGGAGGAACCGGATAACGTGGGAAGGGGACACACACACACACACACACACACATACACACACCCCGCTTGCGATAAGGGAGTTGCCAACTGCCTTGCGTAACTCCAGTCAAGCTAGTTTCTCTAGCTTCCTCCCAGATGGACTATTTCGAGTTAGGGCCTGCAATAAAAAAAAAAATGGGCGTTTGGGTCCCTAGGCATTTCCCAGAGTGGAGCTGCCTCGGTTTCCCCTGTCTGTGAAATGGGTACATCGGTTTCTTCAATTTTGATTCCCAGAATCCCCCAGTCAGCCTGCTTTAAAAGGGGTGGACTTCAACCCCCAGAATCCCCCAGTCTCTTAAAGTGGTCAAGTTTGAGAAAACTGGTTTAGCCGGCTGGGATGGTTGCAAATGGCGACCGCGTGACTACGACGGTCATAAGTGCGAGGACCAGCCCTTAGTGACTTTTTTTCAGGGATTTAACTTTGAATGGCCACTATACGTCGTAAGTGGAGGACTAGCTGTCCAGAAGCTTTGAGATTCGTAGAATCGTCCCTGCTGTTTATCGAGATACTTAAAATGATCCTTTAAATAATGAAATTGATCCTTTGCCATTTAGTTGTACGAAAAAAACCTATTTTTCCCCCCTTTTTCTTCTTCTTCCACACAGACGTTGCCATGGAGAGTTTGGGGTAAGCGAGCCATTAAAGCAACTCTTGAAAAATCAATGTTTTTGTTCCCGACAGAGAGAGAGAGAAAAAAACATTGTTTCCTGCCATGGATTTTTAGAAAGTTTGGTGTTTCTTTTCCAATTTGGCCTATTTATTTTGACTCCTTTCCAGCCAGTCTTTGTTTCAAAAAATCCCCAATTAGTTTCCCCGCAGCTCAAACTTCACAGCAAGGAGCAAAAAACACACAAAAAAGGGAGAGATTTAAATCAGAACGGTTCTCTAGGGAGATCTGAGCTCTCTTTAAAGAAAGAAAAAATATTCCACTTTTGGATCTTTTCCAGCAGGGAAAGCTCAGGCAGTAAAATACAGGTAAGTCCCCAACTTACAACAATTCATTTAGTGACCGTTCCAAGTTACAACGGCACTGAAAAAAGTGACATATGTACGACCGTTATGTCATCCCCGGGATAAAAATCCAGAACTTTTGCAACTGACTCACATTTATGACGATCACAGGCAAGCAAAGTCAACGGGGGAAGCCTGTAACAACCGTGTTACTAATTTAACGACTGCAGCGGTTCGCTTAAGAACGGTGGAGAGAAAGGTCGTAAAATGGGGGCAAAGCTCACTTAACAACTGCCTCGCTTAGCGATGGAAATTTGGGGCTCGGTTATGGTCATAACTCGAGGACCACCTGTATGAATTCCAGTCATTTCTGTAAAATAAACAGTTTTCGGTTCCTCCCAGCTCCAATTTTAGCATTTCCCAATTCGAGACGGGCGGCTTGAGCAATCGGGGCGTCTCCCCAGTTTTTAATTCTTCCCCCCACCCCGTCTTTTAATTTTCAGGTTGTGATTGTTTTACTGCTCCTTTGTTTGTTTTTAATATCCCTGTTGGGGGGGGGGGTGAGGGTTAGGGTTTGTCATTATTTATTTATTTATTTATTTATTTATTTATTTATTTATTGCAAAGTTGATTTTCAGCCCGTTTTTAAGGGGATTTTTGCTGTTTTCAAAGCGAGCGGAGTGCGATGGATGAATTATAAAGAGGGGGAAAAATAGCAAGAGAGCAAACCCATTCATAAATCAGGGGAGGGGTGGGGTGAAAAGGCATGCCCCGTGGCTGAATGGCGGGCCCGAGTTCAAATTAGTCTTAAGCCTCTATGGACGCCAGGGATGGATGGATAGAGAGACAGACAGAGAGAGATGATAGACAGGATGGATAGATGGATGGAGATTGAGATAGAGAGATAGAGATAGAGAGACAGAGAGGCAGGCAAGTAGATAGATAGATTAGATAGATAGATAGATAGATAGATAGATAGATAGATAGATAGATAGATAGATAGATAGATAGATAGATAGATAGATGATACAGATGATATATATAGATATATATATATAGAGAGAGAGAGAGGGAGAGAGAGAGAGAGAGAGATTTGCCCCATGTAATAATTCGAATTAGCAACAGGAATTGCTCATGTTTGCCCTGGTTCCTGTCAACAGGAAACCCTTCCTTTCGGTAGAGCTTAATCGTGCCTGTGGAACTCATGGCCACAAGGTGGGGAAGGGCCCAGCTCTCTTTGGCTTTGCTGCGAGGTCCCAAAGTGGATTTTACTGCTCTTAAATACTACAATGACTATCATCCTTGCCTCGGGAGTAGCCCCACCACAACTCTGAAAGTGACAGTGCCGCAGGAAGGCGAGGAGAGCAGGTTTACGCGGCCGAGGCTGAGCAACCTGGTGGAGCCTCCCTATTCAGGAGAAGTCTACCTTGGAGCGCTGTTTGCTAGGGAAAGCCCTGGGGGAGTGCCTCCCCTCCCCTCCCCGGCCATTTTCAAGAAAGCTGTGGCTTAAATGACTCGATAAGGGTGGGTCCTCGACTTAGCGACCAGGATTTCCGCTGCTAAGCAAGGCGTTTTCGTTTTTGTTTTAAAGTGAGTCCCGTCCGATTGAATGGCCTTTTTTTGCCCAATCATGAAACGATCCATTGTGCTGGATCGGCGAATCACGCGGCCGTTAAGCAACTTTGAACGGTCACTAAACAGCGCGTCTTAAACTGAGGACTCCCTGCAATCATTTTTTGGAAACTGATTTCGGATTATCGATAAATTTGGCTCCAAATCTTCCTTGCCTGATTTTTTTAAACCCAAGCTGAAAATCAGCACCCTTCAGGGAATGTCAAATTAACAATCCCTCTTTCCTTATTATTATTATTATTATTATTATTATTATTATTATTATTATTATTATTATTATTATTATTATTATTATTATTATTATTTTAAGGGAAGATTACACCCAGGACGTGAGATTTTTGTATAATTGCTACTGGACGCAGCTTCTGAAATAAAACAGCCTGGGAAGCCACTTGCAAATTAAACGCAACATTATTCCAATATCTCCCCATCCCGGAAACTTGGGACTACAATTCCCAGAAGTCCCAAATCTCTAGAGGTGGTTGCTGTATCTGGAGGGCGCCAGGTTGCAGAAAGTTTGCCCGAAGCAGTCAAAAACTGTGATTTTTTTTCCTCCCCCCCCCTTTCTCTCCTCTTAAACTCCAGACTGGGTGTTAGCAAAACTTTTGACAAGTTTCAACTTGACCTGTCGTATTTCAACCGCCTCCGAAGTTGGGAGGAATCGGATCGAGGGCTCCAGGCCGGCTGGGGAAGGAGGAAGGGGTGCCACAATTTCCCCCTATCTTGCAAAGAACAAGGCAGGTTCACAAGACCCCCCCCTCAAACCCAGGTCAAACCGAGGCGCAGCATGCTTCCCCTCCCAAACCATCTCCAAATCCAAAGAGGAAAATCTAATTCTCTGC